ATTTTAGAAGCATGAACTTATCTTCAATAAAAAGACAACCTGAGGGAACTATCTGGGACAGCAAAATTAATACTGCACTTGTCTGTAATACGTCCTACCGTTTATAGAAGTGACTTGGGCAAGTTAGCAGGACTCTTTCTGTCTTATCTAAACAATACCAGAACCCTTGCACCACAAATTCACAGTACTGAAGAAAGAATGAAGAAATTGAAGTTATCCGCTTGCATTGATTAAGTATTCTGAGCATTTGTAAGTCTTTAAGCAGCCAAGATAAATGTTTTGGAACCCATTTCTAAAAAATGATCAGTTAATTAGCTCTAAAGCAGAAATTCACAATTTCATTGTGGATACAACTGATAGTGCCTAAATCTAGCTGGAAGTGAGATCAGATATCAACCTGCAGCAGCTTAAAAAAGTTACACAAGCTGACCTTAATATGTGTGACTATCGGGCTTTCACTGCAGAAATATATATATATTTCAATATCTTTTCTGTGCTGAAATCATGTCATTTATATGCAAATCAGGCTATATTCTACAGCTGTTTCTTCTCTGCTGAAGCCATGGGAATTATTTGCACTTAATAAAGCCTCATAAATAGGTTTTGCCTCCAAATGGGGGGGTAGGGGGGTGGGGGAGCAGCAAATATATCATAGCCATTTACAGTTACAAGCATCTTTTTATTTTGAAAGTTATATCCATCCCTTAATGGGAAGTTTCACAGTTATGAAAGAAACACTGTTACATTTATACAAACAAAATACCCTACCGGCCTCCAAAACAAAGTGTTTTACATTTTCCCCTATGGTCAGCCATCTAAAATATAAAAACTGTTATGTAGCATGAACTGAAAGGAAAGTCTGTGTAATTGTTACATACTAGCTCCATGTCCTCTATTTTTAATACAGACAAAAATCCAACAAATAAACAAAAACCCAACAAACACCTTGCTAGTATATCTGGGCACTACTTCTATTTGAAAAAATATACACCAGCTTTATACAAAATACATCCACCTCACGTACTGATTTCTGCAAAACGTGCAACATTATCGCACACCACTGCTCAGATGCCTGCAAGACCTGGCACATGGAAACAGTCAATGTAAAAACTGCGGGAGGACAGACCCAGTAACAACCAGAGCACATCTCACATGACCAAATGAAACCAAACGAATGGCTCTCACTGTAGCAGTTTGCATACTAGAGTGAATTGGAAAGCAGCTCACCAGCTGATATAAAAAACCTGTATCCGGACTTTGCATTCAGAACAGGACATGTAGTGCAGGACTGCAGGTTAATACTAGCACAGCTTTCCCAGCCACTTCACAACCACAGCAAAGCAGAACAGTGATCAAAGAACTCGTAGAGCAGGAGACAAATAGTTCCTGCCTCCTCCTATTACTCATGAGGTGCAGCCCAAGCCTACTTCATCTGAAAAAACCTGCCAAGAGCATATAGAGACCAGGAATTGTCTCTGGTAGAGAGGAGGGGGCTTAGAGGGATACAATTTTCTCTCATTAGAGGTTTGAGGAACAAAGAATGGCAACATGGTTAAACAGCAGACCTTACCCTCAGCTCTGCACTGGCAGCCAATAAAGCCAACAACTCTTCCAGCCCAAACTGAATTTCATCACTGCAAACTTAGCACAAAGTATACACCTCATTATATTCTTATGTAAACCTTCAATGAGATTTTAGTGCTCTACAGAAATTGAATTTTGCTCTGAGTAGTACTTCTCTATTTTTGGTTAAACAAAAGAGTGGGGGAAAAAAGGACATCCGTGAGTCTCATTTCATGGATATCTTTTAAAGATTGCACCAGTAGAACAACTGACCTACTGCTCTCGCTTCTACATATAAAGCAGAAGGGGTCAAGAGGTAAAGCATGGCACCCTTTCATTTAGATGAGAGACCACTAATTCTGGCATGATGGTGTCTTAGGGGCGTCATTTGTGCTCCACAAAATGAATGACTTTAATTATTTTCAGATGCATATTGGTTCAATTCAGCGGTTTCTGCTCAATCTTCATTATTGTCAATTGCCTTTACGAGCACCAGCTTTTATATCTCACTTAAGTAAGAACAAGTCCAAAAAAGTAAGATTCCTACTTGCCACAACTTTCATCATTATTTTAACAATTACTGTACAGTTTAACTCATTGAAGTGCTCAAATATATGAAAGAATTCCATGTAATTTAAATGAACACGAGACAAGATGCATACTCTTGTCACTGTACATTTGCAGTAATCCACATGCTATAAACTTACCTTATACAGAAACGTGTCTGGCAACATGTTTAAACACTATATATACTTTTCTGCTAGTAATTTTTGATCATGTCTTTTGAGTGCATATTGCATTTTCTTAAAGCACAGACACAGCTGACCTTACTTTATATTTTGAAACCAATACATTTGATAGGAAAAGGAAGCATATGAGGAAGACGAAGTTAAATTAAAAGCAGGTATGAGCATGTATTTTATTACAGAGTATCAGACAAGTAAGACAGTAAAATCTGACTCCTTGTCACACTGAATTTTCTTTCATGGCTCCACTGTGGGAAACAGTATTTTTATAACATACCTTTTATAGAATCATCCACAGAATAAAATCAGTGACATTCTGAAAGAATTACTTATACAATTCAAATGATTCAAACTCAAGTCACTTATTTAATGTTACAACACTATGCAAAATTAAAAAAATAACAAGATCCCCTCATACTTCCACAATATTTTTATTTAAGTCAGTATTTTATCAATGGGAAGCAGCTGAATGAAACAATCTTACAGTGAATTTAATTAGTATATTTTATCATCGACAAGGCACCTCAAAGGAAGCTGCATGCAGCAAAATCAGTGGGGCACAGCCGTCTTTTGCTGTCCAGAAATAGGACCATTCAACATAGAAAAATAACATCCTTATGGGGGGTAAAAGAGCCCAAGCACCTCATTTATGCAAGAGAAGCAATATTCATTTAATTTACTATTAATTTAGAGCACAGCAGCTTTTCCGCACTAACTGCACATAGTCACTTTCATCATCACATAATTTGATGGTTCCACTAGAGAGTAAGTCAGCCCACTTACAATCTGAATCCTCTTCTGACACTGCCTGCCTCTTTTAGGGCATATTGGTAAACAAGGTTTATGACCTTTAGATTATTCAGTTATATGACTAAAATTAGAGAGCTCTTATTAGCTTTGTCTATGCACTCCTTTTGGGGCAAGAGTAGGATTTTGGTCCCCGAGTCGTTCATATCTAGCATCTGCAGAGAAACACCAGAGTTCCTGCTATGGAAATCAGAAATAGTTTGGAGGAGGTAAACTCTGCTTTTTACGTGTCATAACACGTGACTAAGATTTGCTTACCTGGGACTGCTGGTCTGAACACAGCACTAGTACAGTAACTGTGAGTTACCTCTATTTGAATGTTTTAATTTAAAAAATAAACAAAAAAATACCAAGGGGAAAAAAAAAAAAAAAAAAAAAAAAAAAAACCAAAAAACAAGAAAGCCCATACAAACAATCCAACCTTGAGTAGATATTTCTAATTCTGCAGTCAGTTGTCCATATAAGTTGTGAAGCATAGTCACTGTGTATCTGAATACAGTTATTGCCAGGGAAATACACTATGGTTATCAGTTTCGATCTTCCAACTATTATGATTTGAAAAATGGAACAATAAGGAAAAAGATGTTACCATATGAAAAAATCATTCCTTCTTGAGACAGTGAACACTTGTACCACCAAACTGGTTCTCTGAAAGTGACTTAAACTGTAAAGAGACATCGAGCTAATGCAAATAATAAAGTAAAACAACAACAAATAAACTACTTATCTTTGAAATAATGTTTTTTCATTAGTGTTTAACATTATTATAAAGGCACTGCAGTACTGAATATATTTTCTGAAGTGTTGCCAGTAACAATAGCACATTTTTGTAATTTTCCAAGTAAGATATGTAGGACAATGGCTTCCTATGAAAAATAGTCAGGAATTGATCTTAGAAACCATATGCAACATACTTCAAAAAGCCTTGAAAGTATTGAAGTGTATTTACTATAGTGTGTTCTGAGTATGGATAAAATTAGAAGTTAAAGCCTTTTAAAATCAACAGAAGGAGAAATACAGTATCCAAGTCTGCTGTGTTCTGCTCTAGTAGAAAGGAAACATAAAAACAGTCAAGGAATAAGAGAAAACTTAAAAATGAAAAGATCTTGTTACTGCCACCCACTTCTTCAAGTCATGAAAGGGACTAAATACCAGAATTTACACTGGGTGCCAATAATCAGGCTGTCTAGGGACAGCTAACTCCTCTGAACTTACCTTTGTGCAGAATTCAAAGCAAAGCACAATAGTATTCAAGTTTATGTTCAGAGTTTAAGATAATCTTTTCAATTTTACCTAGAGACCATGACAAGCCATTTTCAGTGCCACTACAGCTTATGATACTGTGTATGACTAAAAGAACACAGGGATACATTAGGTCTTGATTTCCAATTGCAATCTGGAACACCTCTGGGATGTGAAATGATTTCCATACGATACTCACGTGGGTTTCATTCTGAGGAAACCAAGTTGCAGGCAAACTAGTGTTTTCCATACCTAACTCTGGTATCAGACTGTTCTCAGTTTCAGCCTAGATATAGTCAACTACTGGGTTGAGAGTAGGAAGGATTTGATAAGAGATCTGACATGCAACTGTCTTCTGGCGGCAATTAAATAACTGAGGTGCACCGAAGTGCGTTGAAAGATTGAGACTGCTGGAAACTGCACAGTCTAAAACACGTATTGTTTGGGTGTTGAGGCTGCTTGTACTTGGTCATTCTTTCTTATGGAGAAAGAGGGATTTTTATATATGTAACATATTACTAGCCAAGAGCTATAGAATCATGCATGGGAGTGAAACATCATTGTGTGTGCTTGCACTGCAAGCAACATTGCAAGAACAAACAGCTAAGGTTCCTTGCGCTATTTTAAAACTTTCACACATTTTGAATAATTAACATTGAAATTTAATATTGCCTAAAATCCAGATGAAGAGAATATCATATTTTTCTATCCAATGAACATGCGATGTTTATTGTTCAAACACAAGAGCTGTAAGAAGATAGCCAAATCCAGTACCTGGTTACCTAAGTATTGAGATGTGTTGAGATGCATACAGGTCTTTTTTATGAGATCAAGTATCAAAGTGAACAGTTAAATAAAGCTTTAGAATACTTTTTATAGACATTAAATAACTGTTCTGTTGAGATCTAGGACAGATGCTAACATGATGGAAGTTGCAGTTGTTTTTTTTTAAACAAGCTGGTAGTACTATCAGAAGGAGTAATAGCCTAGAGTAACTTACTATTCCATCACTCTTTATTTTAAATCCAACTGTTTAACAGAATCAGAAAAATTCAGCGTTAAAAAACTGACAAACAAAATAAAAAAGCTTTAAGAAATTTCCGAGGAAACAGTTTTTCATTCATTTAAACAGTACTTAGGAGCAGGCCATGTAATTCATAGCTTACAGCGTCAGCATGAGGGCTCCTCTGACACATTCCTATGTTGTTTCTTTCCATCTGAAAGCAATGAGGTCAACAAATGAAAATGTAAGCAGTTTTCAAAATGAGATAACGTACCCAAATTCCATTAAATAAACAACAACTTTTTCTTTTTTTAATATGTAATGATCTACTGTATGGCAGTAATCCCATTACTGGTAAATAGCTGCAAAACAAAGAAATTCTTTCAGTAGTATCTGAAATTTTGGAAAAATAAGTGCTTTTTTCTTTTTCTTTCTTTTTTTTCTTTTTTCTTTCTTTTTTTTTTTTTTTAAACACTTACAATATATTCTGTTTTAAAATATGTCATCAAGTAGTCCAAGTAAAGGCTTGACATCACTGGTCTCATCATCAGGAAGATATCTAATGAATATTGAGCAAAATAAAATAAAATTAGGTACAGTACATAAAAACTTATGAAATAAAAAACACTATTCAAAATATTTTCTTCCTAAGAATAGTTAACTGGTAGTACTACCATGCAAATTCATCTTTTGAATTTGTAGTAAATCAACAAGTTGCCATGAAGAAATAAGCACTTCACACGTAGACAGTACAAATAATACATACAACTTATTACCTAGGTTCCATTTCTTCTTTCTGCTCCTTCATGAAAATAAAAAAATTCTCTTTCCTAGTGAATTTGGAAGAGTCTGGGATTATGTTTGAAATTGAAGAATATTCTATTTTTTCCAGCTCTTGTGAAAGATTTGAATGTTTGTTTTCTTGAGAAGGGAACTGCAAGGTAAATGTTAAAATGTTAAAAAGAACTGCAGGATGGATTCTTGTAGTCCTAGTTCTTTGTGACACCAACATCACGCTGAACACAGAAGGCATGCTTGTCCAGAGTTTGGACAACACAGATAAGTTCAGAAATTCTGTATGTTCAATTCAATTCACATGTCAGATATGATAAATACATTTTCATATGGAAGACTAATTTAATTACTGGAAATCCTGTTATAGAAACATTTTCACTTACCATATTTACATGTCCACTCTGTACAGATAATTCCACTTTTGATGAGCTATTAAACACAGAGAGAACTGAGTTCTGAATACTGGTATCACTTTGTAATAGGCAAGAGCTGAAAATGCCAAGTGGAGAAAATGAAGTTATTTTTACAGAAGTGCAAAATGGCTTACTTTTCAGTTCAGGATTTTCCCTCCACACCTAAATGAAAAGTCATTTCAAATTAGTCAGCAATTCCTATTGTTCTAAAATTGAAATTTTACTCCATGCTCTCAGTAAACAATCTTCTACATATCCAGTTATGCATGTGAACATTGAACGGTGAACATAAGTAATGTAAAATATAGATAATTTTAAAAATGAATAAAATTGCAATAAATTACATAATGCTTACTCTTCTGAAATGTCACTTGTGGCTTTACTTGTTGAGTACTTGTGAAGCAATTCATGCTCATCTGAAATGTGAAAGCAGGTATTTTCACGTTCCATTTAAGAATCAAACTTTTAAACCAGCCACCAAACAACAAAAAAACATTGCAAATGTTTTACATATCATAAATAATAAATATCTATGTGCCCCAGTAGGAATAGTCCTCAGGCCAGAGCTGCAGCCTGTGGAAAAAAGCCTGTGGTGGAGCTGCCACCCATGGGGATGCATGCTGGAGCACCGTGCTCCTTGAAGGATGGGCCTCATGATATGCAGCCATGTTGGAGCAGTGCTTGGTGAGCTGCAACTTATGGGAAGCCCACAGATCGATTTGGGAAGGAAGGCATCTTATGGAAGGGGCCCCACATGGTGAAGAAGGAAAGAGTGATCGTTGTGGAGCAGCAGAGCCGAAGCATTGGGACTGACTACAGCTCCCGCTCCCCTGCACCACTCAGGAAGAGAAGTAGAAGAGGGTGGATGAGGGGAAGGTGTTTAGTTTGCTTTTTCTTCTCACTGCTCTAGATTGTTATCAATAGATAAATATATATACAAAAATAAAAATTTTTTGCTGAGTCTATTCTGACCATGACATAATTGGAGAGTGATCTCCCCTTCCTTATTCCAGCCCATGTGGTCTTTTTCATCATATTTTCTCTCCCTTTTCTGTTGAGGAAGCAGGGTGAAAGTATGGAGGAGCTGAGCTATCTGATGTATTTAATCACCATAATCCTGTAAAATAATTTGTACACAGAATTCGTACATAATCTTACCTAATTCTCTACTGAAGAGGTTGCTAGCAACTACTAATACTTCATCATCAAGATCATCCCAAACGTCATCTCTCAGTTCAGCATTCACACCCAAAGCATCTGAAAAAAAGATCAGCTTTTAGCTGTATCAGTCAAGTGAACACACACTGAATGATTCAAAGAGAAAGCTGTAATCCATGGACAAGTGCAATAGAAACTGCTCTGTTTTAAGACCAGTTCTTCAATCTATTGAAAGAAGGACTGTCACATATGCGCTTTTTCATCAGCATTCTTTGAGATAAGTTTTCAAGCATTTCCAAGCATTATTAAGATTTTTAATTAAAGTGAGATACTTGATGTTTGAAAATACACTGTTTTCTGGTGCACAGTCAACTTCTCTCACTTTCTCTCCCTTTGTTTTGTTCTCTTTCTTCATCACCAATCCAATTCTCTGCTTTTTACCCACCTCCCTCCTCAACCTCCCATCTAGCACCAGAAAGTGTTTTGCTTTGTTGCCACAGTCCCAATATAGTAAAAGAACTCTGATCTAGATATCCCTTGCAACACAGGGGAAGCAGGACAGGCTGAAATAAAAAATACTGTTCAAGAGACACCAGAAAGCACCCAGAAGGCACTTCTATTGTAATTTTGAGAATGCAAAGTCAGCGTGGTGCACGACTGCAGACATACACACAGTTTAAAATACTTAACTATAGGTTACTACAATTTCACAGCATATTCTCAATTTCCTGCATTTATTTATACAGAATGGAAACATACCATATTAGAGACATAGTTGATCCCACATAAATCATAGAATCTGGGGCCTTATCTCACTAAAATTATTTCTGGTGCATTTTTAAAGTGTAGCTGGCCCAATTTATATGGCTAAGGTTATGTTTTCTGGTACTACTCAATCAAGATGGTTTTCAGTTGGCAATATTTTCCCTTGATGCTGTATGATTTGCCTCAAGATTACACAGCTATAATGATACCAGAATATTCACCTGTCTTTCTGTGAGTTTATCCTTATAACACAATCATATCACATACTAACTGGCTCACACAGCTACTGATGATATAGCAACAGTTTCCATCTGAAGACCAAGGTAAAAAAAAATATATATATATAGCAGGTGGTGAGTACACGGGCAAATCTTTAGTATTAATTTAAAGGAATATTCCATCCTCAAGATATTTGGTAAAAATGATATGATATAGTACAGTTGCTATCACTTAAGGCAGCATGAGCCAAAAATACATATATCAGTCTACCTCAACAGTGTTTCTTATATGTATGAGTATGATCTAAACGTTGGATCTGCTACTTAACCAGCAGACAATCAAAACCTGACTCATGTAACTCTGCAGTCACCAAGTAGAATGGTAAAGGGCGTGCATTAAGGAGAGCACCATGGTTATATACTAATAACAAAGACTGATCATTTAACCTCACATAAAAAAACTTTAATGCCCTTTCTAATGAAAGATAAGTAGAAAGAATTTTTTCTTTTTTCTAGATAGTGATGCTTTACTGGTTATGGACAAAAGCTCCTATTTCATCAACTTCTTCCAGTAGAGAAGGAAAGAAGAAGAGATATAGAGACACAGGTAAAATGCCTTTCACACTGCAAGTGTCTTCAGTGGAAATACCTTGCATAAAGTATTTAGTTTTGTACTCTCATATTTGAAATTCATTCTCGTATTTGAAATTCATCATCATTGTTTTATTTAGAGATATATGACTTAGATCTACATTTGCTTTTCTTACTGATTTTAGAAAGAAAGCCAATTAAGGCCACACTATTTCCCTGTACTGGGTGCTGTAGTGATTTCAGCAAGTTTCAGTTTACACACAAGATACGCTCAACACAAAACAACAAATGTTATGATTTCAAACATTAGTCATAACTTACCACTCTTTCCATAGTCCCAGGACTGGAATTGTTTTTGAGATCTTCCTAAGTTATTAAAACTATCTACCTGGTCCACTGAATGTGACGAAAATGACTCTTCATTTCCAGACCTATTTAAAACAAAACAAAACATTGACGTGTCAGTGGAACTGATGAAGAAAGCTGCAACAAAGAAGAATTTTATTCAGAAAACAGGCACTAGTTAAAATAGAACTACTACTTAAATATATTAATTACTGTTATTTGTATTCATTAGTACCTTGATGATGCTGGCATCAAAGATTTGGGTGCAAAAACAAATTGTTTGAGATCCACACTTTGAGCCTGATTTAACATCTGCATCTAAAGAAAGCAGGTTATTGTAATCAATGAGACAAAGACTGAAAAATGTTTTTTAACAATCTGAATTATATCATTAATATTCTATCAAGCTAGCGTATTTTTAAAAAATTGCACATTATATCTTTCTGGCATTTAGTTACCTCTTGGGATCTCTTAGAAAAAGGTTTTTTTAGTCAGCAATATTTTCCCTTGATGCTGTATGATACTTCTCAAGATTACACAGCTATAGTAATACCATACTGAATTACATGCTTCTATTACAGTTATCCAAAAAGCCAGACTAGGTATCACTAACTTTGTCTATATTAGCTGCAGACTAATCATTCTTCTCTATTACAAACAAGCAAACATTAAAATAAAAACATGGAGAGAACTGCATCACGGGAAGTACTCCAAACATCAGTGGAACGTCTCAAAGATTCCCATACATTTACAACCTTTCTACTTCTTCACTTTTTGCATTCCATGCAGACAATCTTGCAAGTTTGTATTTCCTTATGAGAGGAAATACATACAAACACAAAACAGATTAAAAAAAAAAAAAGGCAGATGTTGACTGTATTCAAACAAACCTTTAACCGCTTTACTGGGGGTACAGACGAAGTAGAGTTCCTGCTCCTTAAATCTGCCAGGTACAAACTAAACTTTGAATCTCCACTCATCTCAGACTTTGGAAGTACTCCAGTTTTACCTGAGAAAGGGTATTATAACAATCTTCAATTAGTTTAAAAGGGATAAATCATAATTATTTCCAAATCAATGGATATTCTGCCACTAAGTTTGGATGTCTTCTATTAAGAGATACTAAAGATTTAAGACACTAATATTTACACGAGAGGTCAAGATTGACATTTCTCTTAAATCATATGCCAGATGATCTGAAAACATTAATAGCCATTGTAATCTCTATAAAAGTTATATTAACAAAATGTGGGTTTTTTTTGTTTGCCTTTTTAGCAAAAACGTATGCCTGAGTTGCTTGTGTCATTGCTGTTAATGTAGACATTGGGATAAACAGAACTACTGTAAATTATATCATCAAAAAGTAACAGAAATAACGTATTTAATGAAACTCACAGCACTCATGTCCACACACATCTTTATTTTTACAGCGATGGTTACATTCTCTGTTACTGTATTTCTTATAGATATTTTCTTCTTTACATCTGCTTCCTAGATGAATGGAAAACCAAAGTACTCATTTTTTATTTTGTATGCATTGTTGAGAGAGTTCCTCGTGCAGTGTAGGATGGGCTAAAATAGTCTGGATCCCTAGAATTTTGTTGCCTTCAACAGAATATTGAGCTGCCCTAGCACTATAACTGGAAACAAATTAACAAACACTATGAAGAAACAGAGGCTCTAGTGCTATTTCCAAAATCAAACAGCAACATTAGATAGCAAGCTCACAATATTTTTCTAACTTTCAAATTCAAAGAATTGCATAGTAGTACTTGATAAGCAGAAACAGTAAAGCAGTAGCATTACATATTTGTTATAGTTGAGAACTAAACAATATGGATAAAAGAGATCTAACTTTCTACTGAACAGAAAATTCAGCTTTCTGTTGACTTTGGAATTAGCCAGATGCTGTGATATCATTGTTTACCTGTCTCCACTTTTGCTGCAGGTAGGCTTTGTGCTGTGCCAGAAAATGTATCAACAGAAGACTCAGCTTTCCGTTTGTTTATAACTACTTTACTTCCCACTGCTCTTGGTGTTAAGTAGAAGGCTGTATATGTTTGCTGTATATCAAGGCCAACTTTGAAAAAAAGAAAAAGTATTTCAGTGCTGTGAACTATTTCTTGAACTACTGATTATTTCCACTTTTCTGAAGAGTTCAAGGAAGTATGAATCTTTAACAAAGATCATGGAAATTTGTTAGGAATATGGAACATTAAAAGCAAGCTTATTATTTGAATGGATTTATTGCAGATAATGTTTAAAAAAAAAAATCGCACATCTTCAGAAATTAATGCCATCACTACTATGTGAGTAATATAGCTGTACTGTACAGAATACATGATTTCCATTAACAAAAATTTTCCTGTATTGTTGTAGAACTAGGTTTACTTGCAGTGCAGGTATAATTTCCTGTAAAACTGCACTATACTCTATATTCTACACTATAGTCTAACTTATGTGACTGCAGCTTTGCACTGACAAAGAAGTAAAATGACAATGTTAGTAGAATTTTTTTATTTGAAAGCTAATTGTTTTCAGTTTTAACAAAACCAAGCTTGGTAACAGACTATGAGAGATAACAGTTACAAAAAAAGAGAGTATTTTGGACTTCAATTAGGCAAACATTACTGAAAAACAAGGCAGACTTTTCAAAAAATGTGAGATTTTCTTAATGTATGAAACAGATGCAGACTGAAGTAAGAAGGCACTAAGAAAACTTGCTTTTAATGTAACTTCAGTGTTGCCAATGGGACAATTTCAGAAAAATTAACATTTTTTCCTCTTCAAGATTTATTGCACTCAGTACAACTTGTAGATAGCAAAATATTAATAAAATTACAACTCTTTCTCCATCTCATTTGTTTGGAAAACATTTCTTCCTGCCTGAGACACAGGTTTGAACGCAGGAGTAAGTATTATTCTAGGCTGAATTATTGTGATTGTCTTAATATTTAATGGTTTCCTGGAGGAAACAAATATATTTCAGTTAATCTGGCATGGAGAAATATTTTTAATACTGGAGCAGGATGAAGAATTTACCGCAGCCAGTTCAATTTTTAACATAGTTAAATTGTGTGTTTGAAATATCATTACTGTTCTTCATCTACTCCTGTAGCTTCAGCTTCATGGAAACTGGCACTGAGGGAACAAATGTTGAGATCTTCACACCTTAAGAAACAATACTTTTCATTGTAGAAGTTTCATGCTACTAAAGAGGAGATGAATCTGCATCAATACATTTTATATGCAAAATTCAAAGAACAGAAAACCTCGCCATTTGCAAATACAGTTCTTCCCAGTGCAAGTAACCTATAAAGCTGATAGATTCATGCAACTTAAAGGTAATGTGAAAAAGAAAATTTTAAATTGTCTTAACTGAGCAAAATTCTCTCTCAAGAACAGTTTTGTTTGAGAACGTTAATATCCTACCAAGTAAATGGATTTGTAATTAGGGCAGATAGGTAATACTCAACACTATAGAAAGAATTTGTTTTCCAGTTGATTATATTTTGATCTGATGTAAAGTGTTTTAATAACATATTTTATATCTTGTGCAGATGTTTTTCTATTACAAGTATGTTAATTAACTCACCATAATCAGAACTAATTAAATTTATACTAATGTCATCTGATTTAAGAGCTCTTTTCACTTCAATTTTCTTCATCCAATTTCCAGTTTTCAGCAGCACAGAATCCCTGCAATGCATCAGTAAAGCTTCATGAGATATGGTCAGTGAAAACAAGACTGCATACAAGACTGTATCAGTAATTACGTAAAGGTTATTGAACCTTTCAATTCTATATCATCTATGGTCTTAAGCCAGGATCCTGCAAGATCAGTTTCAATTCTGCCAAAATTCTGTCAGACAGTGGCCAGGACTCTTGTGTACATCATGCAGTTACAAATGACTTTGTCTCTTTTTCCATTTGCTCCAAACATAAGTTATCTAACTGGAGAATTGAATTTCATCTCTGACATAGAAACAGTTGTGACAATCATATTACTAAAGAAAGATTGCTAATACTCGTAAGTAACAAGTTGAGAAGATATATATGTATTTTAAGATATTTTACATATTTTGACTGTCGAAGATTTCTACAACATGGCATCACTGCCGTCCAGATATTTACACACACCCTCTGTGCTGACATGCGTGTAAGCATGTTTTTCTTTTTCTTTTTCTTTGTATTGAGTTGTGCAATATTTTAGGAGACAACTGAGTAACTACAGGATAAAGACTAATATTTGCATAAATAGAAAGTATTGCAAAAACTGCAAGACAAAAAAGGAATAAATGGCAACAAACTCAAAAGATGAAAAAAACTGATTATACATACATTATTTTCTGAATAAAAATTACTTGATTGTCAGCATCTCCTACAACCAACGTAACATAGTGAAAGTCTGATGCTGTTCTCCTTGTCTGTAGCTGCTCAAAGTTTGTCAATATGGTGGTTACTAAAATTTCAGCCACTGTATCACTGTATTTTGGAAGCTAGGAAAAGATTATATACAAGATGACATAACAGCTAAAATACGCGAAGTAAAACATACATCCTTCCATAAATTTTTAAATGTGGATACAACCACAAAAGCTCAATTTGAGCAATTTGCAATACAGTTTCTATGTAGTTTAGACTCCTAGACACTCCTGTATGTCCAGGTGGAGGCCAGCCACGAGTGGTGTCCCGCAGAAACCCACCTCAGGACCAGTGCTCTTCAACATCTTTACCAACAGTGTGCATCCTCAGCAAGTTCACTGATGAGACCAAGCTGAGTGGTGCAATTGACACAGGAGAAGGAGGGACCTGCACTGGCTTGAAAAGTGGGCTTGTGTGAACCTAATGCGACTCAACAAGGTCAAGTGCAAGGTCAAGACTCTTATACTTGAGTTGGGGCAATCCCAGAAATGGGTAAAGACTGGGAGAAGAACTTACAGAAAGCAGCCATGCGGAGAAGGAACTGAGAGTCCTGGTGAACAAAAAGCTGGACAGTAGCATGCACTTGCACCCCAGAAGGTTAATTGTACCCTGGATTGCATCAAAAGGGGGGTGTCCAGCAGGGCAAAGGGAGTGATTGCTTCCATCTACTCTGTACTTATGAGGCCCTACCTGCAATACCATGCCCAGGCCTGGAGTGCCCACCAACACAAGAAAAATGTGGAACTGCTGGTGCAGTTTGAGAGGGAGGCCATAAAGATGATCTAAGGGCTGGAGCATCTTTCTTATGAAGAAAGGCTGAGGAAGGTGAGCTTGTTTAGCTTGAAGAAGAGAGGTTCTGGGGAGATCTCACAAGCCTTTCAGTACTTGAAAGGATCTTATAAGCAGGAAGGGAAGTGACTTTTTACATGGTCTGATAGTGACAGGACGGGAGGAATGGCTTTAAACTAAAAGAGAGGAGATTTAGGTTAGATGTCAGGAAGAAATTTTTTTGTTCTGAGGGTGTTGAGGCAGAGGAACAAGTCGCTCAGAGAAGCTGCAGATGCCCCGTCCCTGGAGGTGCTCAAAGCCAGGTTGGATGGGGCGCTGGGCAGCCTGATCTAGTGAGTGGCAACCCCTGCCCATGGCACGCTGAGTGGAATTAGATGATCTTTAAGGTCCCTTCCAACTCAAACAATTTGATAATATGGCACTATCTTAGCCATAGCTGAACACTCTGTATTTAAGTACTGAGAAAAGAAAACGATATATCAAGTCCCCCTAAAAACTTCCTCTGTTCAATGCAAAGAATAAAACTATTTTGATGAAGTTTTCAGATTCAAATGTTTGACATTCCAGCATACCTCTATGTATGCCATTGCTGAATCTTCCTTCCGTGACTAACTTTAGGGATGCTTATCAACAAGTCAAATGAAAAACTAAAATAGAACTTGCTATAAAAACAGCATTTTACACAATACAGCTTTTAACCTCAAAGGCATCTTCATTTGTACTGACCTCACAAAATGCTATAAATTTTTTATTTCAGAAAACTGAGGCAAAGTGGTTGTTTGATATAATGCTTATCATAACCTCGAAGAACACAGAATTAGAGCATTAGATTACACCCTACCATTGAAACGGTACCAGTTAGGTTAATATAATCACTTATTCTTTCTATATGTTGCTAAGTGAGACAGAAAGTTAACGTTAGCTAATGCTTGTTCAGTAAATTTTATTATAAGGTTGTTTTTTTTGTCTCTCGGATGGAGTCTTTTGAAAAAATATCTAAATATTTGCATTATATTTAAGATATTTACATATAAAGCTAGAACGTGAATATATTGGTTTGCAACTCTAACACAAAATGCTATTAACAGTGGAAGGGAGAAGGAACAAAGTTAATGTACTAGAGGGAAGGTTTATTCAAAATCTGTCCTTCAGAGTTTGAGTTTCACGCTAAGGTGAAAGGTCATGATATTGTACACAGTGTACTCTCAGAGAGGGCTGGAATCTCTTAACAGCAACATATGTGCTTTCATTTAATAATATAAGGAAAAAAAAACAACAATAAAACAAATAGAAAAGCCATACCTGTTCAATGTTAAGTTCATATTTTGGAAGGTGCAAAACAGATTCTTTTATCTGGTTTCCAAATGGAGGATGTCTGTTCAAAATCTGCAAAAATTTAGTTTCATTTCTGATAAATTCAACTGATCAGTGATGCTAGTACAGAAGTAAATTCAAGGGATCAAAGTCACCAGAGTAATTATACCATTAACAAAAGCCCTAATCACTCCTAGTTCTCTACTGTCAGTGATATCCAGTATAGAAAAATAGCCAAAAGAAAAGAAAATTCCAACATTTTTTCCACAGTGCTCTCTTTTCTGTTTGGTATCAGCCAATGAACTAGCTTACATGTTGAAGAATTAGGCAGGTTTTGTGTGCTGACACTTCTATGCTACCCTACCTTTAGTGAAAACAAAACAGAAATGAAAGGAAAACTTGAAAAAAGGGTAGAAAAGAAAAATTAAATTCTGAAAGCCAGAACAGAAATAACTGAATAAGATAAATTTCATTTAGAAATCTGTTCCAGAACACAGGAAAAGCCGTTTCCTCAGAAAAGAAGTCAAGAGCCTAAGAACTCGTTCTAGTGTAAAATCTAATTTGCATAGAATTAGGAATGTTTTATAGATGATTCAAGCAGCATTTTATTCTATGACTATCTTTAATTAAAATATCAAGAATGGAAATTCAGGATTTTCATCATTAAGATTAATTAAGAATAACATTAAAAACAGAAGAGATATTTACAAATATTATTAGAAGGGGAATGCGCGTCGCCTTCTGTTTCAAATCGTGTTAACAATGAAATTCTATGTATTTAAGCAGCCACTTTCCAAAACTAGCCAAACCCACAAAGTCAGTCATATTAAATTTCCTAAACTAAAGTATTACACACATTTCCAAGAAAAAGCAAAACAAAACAAAACAGTAACTGCACTTTTAAAATTCTCCAGCATAAAAGAAGAAATCACTTTGAATGCTCAATTTTGCTGGCATTCATACAGCAGATACATTATTTTCTTAATGTTTATCTGCATACAAAAAGACTTACCAATTCCAGTTCCCTTGCATTTATGTCTTCTATTTTTTTAAAGGATGTGAGCCCAGCATTTACCATAGCATTTGACAACGACACACCTGTGAAAAAGTTTTATGTTGTTAAATGACAATTACTAATCTCAAATTATTCTAACTGTATTACAGCAAGTAAATACAAAGCAGAAAACACTTTATGGTATGCTTTTTCTAATCTTTTTGCCTAGCAAATAGCAAACATCTTTTTCTCAACTAAATATTTAAGTATTAAATTCACTCATCATTAGTAAAGGCAAAAAGAAATGCATGGAAAGCAAATATGAAAACATTTAATATTACAATAATGACAAGTTTTATATAAATTCTCTAGTATAAAAATCATGTTAGATCACTTTCTACAGGAGTAAACACCACTTTATACACATTTTCTAGTGTAAGACAGATTTTAGATCAGGTTCTACAGGAGTCAACAAACAAGCATTCTGTGTATGTATGATTAAAAAACAGAATGTCATTCACATGGAACAAAATTTCTGAAACAAACAATTCTATCCAAGGAATTACTTAATTATATGTCAAAGTCAAAAGGATCTCAATGCATTCAAGCAGACTAATAATAAAAATAACTCCAGGAAAAAATATTTATGATAATCTTCTAGGAATTGATGCAAGTTTAGCAAAATATTTTCTTGTTACATGATAAGCAGACTGGCAGAGAATTCTACATGCAACCTTATTCCTCTTCATGATTCTCCATTCTCTTACATTTTAGTCAGATTTAGTCAATGCACTATGTATGAAAAGGCATTTTCTCAGCTAGAACTACAGCCTACCACAATGACCAAAATAGTTTTAGATAAAAGGTAGTATCATATACTTAGAATGAGCATATACTTAGAATAATTCTATAGGAACATTAAGAGAAACCGGAAAATTAGGTGGGAAGCTGCTCAAGAGAGAAGCTGGAGAACTTGATTTGGAAGCTGGAGAACTTTGGAGAACTTGATAAAGCAAGGATTGATAAAGCAATCTTTCAAGAAATGACTCATCTCAACTCAAGATCTTCACAATTTGCAAAAAACATAAGGGATTGTTAAATTGTTAATCTCTTCTTCCTTTTATGTATATTTCAACACCTCTTGGATGGACATAAATACAGATGAGGAGAAAGTGTCTTATATCATTTGTCTCTTATGTCTTCTCACTAATGGAAACCTTTCTACCATTTCAAGAACTATGACAGAAGAACTAGCCTTCAGCTTTACTTAAAAGAAAGGATGCACTATAGGTGAATTAGCTGCAGAACTAATAAGTGACATCCTTAGTTTTCAGACTGTTTGCAGAGCTTCTGCAAATGAGAGGAGAAATGACAAAAGGTTTTTTTCCCCCAATTTATGTCCAATCAAGAAAGAAAAAAAAAGGAGACAGAAATAGAACCGAATAAGCAGTGAAGGTAATAAAATCCTGGATTGATACTTAGCATAGATCCAGAAATAGTGGAAACAAGTTACCACCACAGAAGCTAACGCCTTAATCTCTTATCTTTAATCCGCATGAACGAAGCAATACTGCTTCTGCACATGAGCTGATAAATTTGTCATGCACTGTACCACACAGATTTCCTGGCTTAATTTGCAGACCCCTGTACCATACTGTTTCATATAGAGTAGATGTGTCTTTAAATAACAAACACAGAGAACTGCAGCGAATTTTGTAAGCATGAAAGCGTGATAACATCAGACAATGGCAGGAAGATACACTATTATATTAAGCATACATACATTTTTGTTCAAGAGCTTCAACATTTCTGAATTCCCTTTCAAGTAATTAAAACAAATCAGAATTCCCAAACAGAAGTTTATCTAGTAATACAGCATGCTGATAAGGAAGAACACCATCAGAAGCTTGAGAACACATTGAACCTTGCACTATAAAATTATTTCTATTTTATGATTCCTATCCATCTCAATGCCAATTAAGTAGTTTCCATGCATATGAGTAGTAGGACAGACACAGCTTTTTAGAGAGAAAGTTAAAGTCCACTGAGAGGTATGCAATTATACAAATGTGAAATTTGTTCAAAATATGGAGATTAACATTAAGAAACAACATTCTGAAAGCATGAATAATATCAGTACATGGACTATTTCTATCCAAGAAGGTAACGACAAATTCGTAATAACTTTGGTAGTTACCTGTAGACAAACAGGCAATTGGGAGACATTCAATTACGTAAACAGTCACTACAGAAATTATGAGCTGTTTCACTCTACACCTTACATCTCATTTCTGACAAGTACATACCAATTTTTTCCAATTGCTTGGACACGTAAAGTGAATTTTCCCAAAGTCTGCACTTGAAACACTTAGCTAAAATCAAAGAGTTTAATAATGCAGAAAAGTTGTCTTTACTTGATGCCAAAAAGTCAGATAACCCTGAAAAAATAAAATTTACTACATATCAATCAACAAATATATATTTTTAGTTATTATGGTTATAGAAAAGGATCAAATTTTACCGTACATCTAGTAACTCTTATGCCATTTCTAAATATTTTGCCAGTATCTTGTGTCAAAGTAAAGTCTTGAACAGGAATGCATCCTAGGTGAGCCTGAATAAGACTGGAAAAGAAATATTTATGTCTTGGTACATAAACTCTACTCTAAGCTACACATAACAACATAGAAGTTCCTTCTGGAAAAAACAAGAAAATTTGGAAGCGTAAAATAAAAGATCTGGTCCATTATGAAATGACACATTGTAGCAGGGATTTCAACAGACGAAGTGAGAACTTTTCATTAAAATGTAATCATAGTGCAATACTTACCAGTTTACTTTCATTTCTCTTGTTTTAATCCTCCCCTCCATTGGAAACCTATATGTGAAAATATACTTATTGTTCACTATTCATAGCTTTTGTTGCTAAAAGCAAACTTCACTTTTCCTATGTACATAATTTTTTATACCTGATAGTTATTTTGTCCTTGTCTTTATTCAAAGCATTCAGTATTTTCTTCTCATTTGTTCTTAACTTGACATCTAGAAATTCTGCGCAGTTGGAGATCATTGTAACCTGTAACAGTTTAACTTTTTTCTTATCTTTTTTTCTATAAAGGTTATTCTGTGACAGATGGGGAAGATTTTTCAGTTTTCAGATGATTATTCCACTTGAGCTTATCCAAGACCAAACACATTGCCAAGACTTCATTGAATGCAAGGTAAATATAAACAGTTTTTGCTATTTCTTATTTATTTCACTTTACTTTTTTTATCCCCTAGTAACAAAAACAGCCAGGGGAACAGGCATTCCATTTATTCATGGCCAATCTACCACAAGATCTGTTTGAAAACAAAATGCCTTTTGTAACGTAACTGTTGCAATAATAACTTGCTAAATGATAGTAAAAAATGACTTAGAAAGACAATAACATTTCTTTAAAAATAAAAGCTGCTCTTCATACAGCTGGTATTTACAGTAAAATATAGATAACTAAATAACTCAATAAAGTATTTTTTACATAAGCAGAACAGCCTTGGCAACTTCATATTTTCCTAAGAAGGGATAGTGATGGAAAGAAAGAAAGAAGTGGAAGTCAAAAGGTCTCCCAACTAAAAAGACTCAAGAGTGCTCCATGTAGAATTTATTTAGATGTATTCTCTAAAATTTTATACATCTTGTTAACAAAGCCCAAACTTTTTGGCAGACATAAAAAAAATTCTGAACGTTGTTTTTTGTTTCTGTTTAAAATCAATTGCACATCTGTGAATTTTGATTAAAATTACCAATTCCTTCAAAGTTTCGGTTCCTTTAATTCTGAAAAACTGCTTTACTGTATCAAATGCAATATAATACCATGCCATTAATCTTCCAGTCTCTGTAAAAGAAGAACATACCTTCAAAAATTTATATGCCAAGTATTTTTTTTTCAGTGTATGCATTTTTTAAGTCACAAAATGAATTAATTTTCTTATTAGAAAGCTGCATGACATTTAACACCACTGACTCAATATGCTGTGTGATGGATATTACTGACCGCATCACAGAGACAGAAAAATATGCACCATTTAGTTTTCTCCAGTGAAGATTAATTCACACTAATATCAGACTGTGAACTGCAGTTGCTGAGAATCCACCCACTGCTACTAGAGGATTGTAGAGAAGACCAGGTAGCCAGAAAGCCTCTCCTTCATTGGATTTTGTTATAGCCCATTATCCTGTGATAATGTTCTATAATTTTCCCCTATCTGCAACAAAATTTTCTGTGACATTAAAAGAGAAGACGTGTTCAGGCATTAAGAGAATGAACTTCCATGATTTGCTGGAAAAACAAATCACGTATTTCTAGGCAGAGAATTTTTCAGATTCTACTCTCTATAACATTTGTGTACTTCTATTAAAGGTTCACAGGAATAGCTGTGAACTTCTGTAGTTAATTATCTCAACATCCCTTCTGAAATTTAATTTTTTTTTTTTTGAAAAGTGTTACCTGTTGGCTTGAAATTATTTTCTTTATCCATCCTGATCAAATTGAAAGATGACAAATCATTCAAGTTCTTCAAACAGAGTTCTGTCCACAATTTGAAAATATACGTATTTTTAGCACATATTAAAAAATTAACCTTACGTTCAAGTCAAGAACAACATCATCCAATTACAATAAATATATATCAAAGTAATTCCACTGAATTCAAATAAAGTTCTTGCTTATGCAACCAGAAGTATTTCACTTTGCACGTGCGATGTATGAGAACATCAGTAACTATGAAAATTATTACAGCATATTTCATGTATGCAGGGAGAAGAAGCTACAGACGCTGGAATAGAGGAAAATAATTTGTTGAAAGGGCTTTTTGAAAGTACTTTTCTACCAATCAAGACATACTGATCATATTCCAAAGTGTTAATAATTACATAATAAAACAGCACAGCATAGTAAATGTACTTGTTCTCTGACTGGTTGTATTGAAATAATAAAGTTATATAACATGCATAAACATGGAAGAACCTGGCCTAAAACATAACATTTTATTGAGACAGCTGACAAGCTACTTACCTTGTAATTTTGCTTCAATTCCAATTTTATCCAATCCAGATGAAAAACCTTCAAGAAAACAACAATTTCTTTTTAAAAATTTAATACAATTATATACTTTCTCCTTAATATCATAACAAATCAAAAACAATTTCCTAATTTTTTAGGAGCTAGATGGCCAAAATGAAGAACTGCTAAATGTTTCTATTATTCCAGGAACAAATAAAGAGCCTCAAACAATATCCAAGTTTCAACAAGTGTTTGTTAGAACAGATACAAAAGGATAAATGCTCTACATGCTCCTCCGAGACACACATCAGAGTCCTAACAGTTGTAGAAACATCCATAAACATTAGCAGAGTGCCAAATTCACATACGGAATCTTCCTACTGTAGAATACAGGAAGCTTCCTAAACTGTAACACTTGTTCAAGTAGTACATATACTATGGTCTATTCCATTACATTCTTTTTTTTTTTTTTGGAGTTGTTTTCAGCAAGTGAATAGCCACTTCATAACTGGATGTGGTACAGGTGTCAATAATAACAAGGATACGGTCATGGCTGGCAATTAAGTTGCTGCTCTGGACAAGACAAACTGAAGAAAGGAGCGTATTAAAATTTTGTTTTAGCAACACTATGAAATGCTAGACAAAGTCTTCATAGCTACAGACTACCTATTCAGTGCTGAAAAGCACATTATGACTAGAAACTGTATGCGTACATGGCTGAGTGTACTAGAATGAAAAAAATAGATCACTATGAAGCTATAAATGGCTTCTTCATAGTTTTTAACATTACATCACACTGAAATTCCTACTATTTGTATTAATGCAAATAAGATTACTTTTCCACGAAGTGTTATGGACCACATTACACAACTTGTCTTCAACCCCTCAAAAAAGAATGGCCCGTAAGAAAACAAAAAAAAGCAAATAATACTGATTTAACACAGGCCAATGTCAAAATGTAGAACAACTGCAAACAACAAACAAACCATAATGAGCTGGATTTTTTAAAGCTCTAATGTACAAGAATGTTGATCGTATCCATTCCAAAGCTACAGTGACATCTGTGATAGTATGTAATGCTATTTCTGCATTTAAATGCTCCACAAGATGTTTGTGCAAGCTGTCAAAACCAAAGAAACAAACAAAAAAACCCTCTGTAAGTATATTTATCAATTAATAATACAAAAAAAACCTTTTTTTTTTTTTCCTTACTGTAAACTATTCATTTTAATCAGTGAAATTAACAGGAAATAGTTTTAAAAAGTAAACAATCAATAATGTAATTCACAATGTGGCTTAGCATCCAGAGAACAAAAATAATCATCTTGGGAACTATGAACTTTCGTAAGTATTTAGAAAAAAAGCTACATGCATTTCAAAGTTACAGTGCAGTATTGATATTTTGAACATATTTGAAAAATTGAACCATAAAAAAACCCAAACATCTGTGACTAAAATTTTGTGTTTCAGAGTTAAGGTTAGCATCTTAACTTTGGTATAAGTGTCTCTCCTGATATTTCATTCATCCCAAGTGGACTCTGCAGCCTGCTATTTTCTAAGCTCTATTGTCTAAAAATTCAGATACATGATCTGGCTTCAGCTCTTGCTGTTCGTCTTTGTAATATATATAATTTAGGTTTCTTAAGTTTTCCAGCAGGAATCTAGAGCTAACTTTAAGATGACCTAAAATATGTTTTTATCTATTAAAGCAGAGGCTGTTATCTCTGATTAGCTTTCTAGTTTTCTGTCTTTCTTTCGGGTCCTTAAATTTCTTCTAAACAGGAAAAAATTCAGAGAAAATACATTCTGTAGAAAAAATGAAATGTTTCTGCCACCTATTTCATTTTATGAAAAAGTAATTACCTGCTCTCTATTATATCTGCACCATTTAGCATTTGTATATACTTCTCCCTTGTACTCAAACGAGTCATAATTACTGCTGTAGCTGTTGTGTCAAACTGCAAAAATAAATACATAAATCAACAAACAAACCCAACAACAACCCTGCCCTCCTCTTGTGGGAGCAAAATGAATTGGGATATTGTGAAGGCAGTGTTTCCAAACTGCTCCTCTCTTCTTCTAACATAGTTTTCTCATTCTGAAGTCATGAGAAGTACATTGCAAAGTAAAGTATGCTGTTAAATGTTTCAGATATTTTTATCATGCAATCTGTAAATTGTGTGCCAGCTTCCTAATTGTTCTCCAATCCTTACTCCACACACACAGTTCAAGTGTAATCTTTGGATCTTTTACTACAGCAAGGTGAAACAATGTGTTTTTTTTAAACAGATAACAGAAAAGCAAGTATTTCTCTCTCATTAACTATTAACAACAAAACTTGAAAAAAAAAATGCTGCAATGAAAGTTTTGGAATTGTTTCTTTGGCAAAGTTAGTTTCTACTTATCTGCCTTTAGAAAGAATTGCTGTAACACAGCAGTAACTTACTTGAGGCCTTCCTGCTCTCCCAATCATTTGCAGAATATCAGTTTCACTGTACTCTTCAAACATTCCTCCAACATAGTGCATTGTGGATTTTATAACCACTAGATGTGCAGGTAGATTGACTCCCATAGCTAAGGTGCTAGTAGTAACTAGACCAGATCAAAGTATAGTGACATCAGGATGAACACCACTGTTACACAGGCATTAAACAAATAAGCACCTAATTTTCATCATGAAGAACTCATGTTTTCTAGCGTAGCCAGTGAAAATGGGGACATTACGCACTAGAAAGAATTAAATCTAGGATACTGACACATATTTGCATAAGAATTCTGTACCTGATTGTCAAGTATTATCGAGAATTCTTTACCAGAATACATCTGTTTAAAAGTAAATGTTCAAATATTAATTAACAGAATATATACTTTGGATTATCTGCAAATGCTAAGGAATTTTTTCAAATAATCCAGAACACAATCTGTCTTCAGTAAAACACAAACATTGAGGAAATATCATCTGTAGTTCTTCACAATCAGTATCTTTAAGAGTTTTGTTTCAAGTCATCCACCATCAGTATTATTTGTATTCATGGTAGCAAAAAAAATGTATAATCACCAATACTATCATCATTCTCTACCAATACACACTTTCATGGAAGACTCGTTTACATGCAGATTATCTCCTTCGTAAATCTGTTTTCTCTAATACATGATGAGATTGCAGAAATTCAACATTGGATGTCAGCTATGCAGGCCAACTGACACAGTTACTCCACCACTAGGAAACCAAAGTATTATTTTTTAAATGAACCAATGGCATGAGAATAATACTGGCTTTCATACTACGTACATACTACATACATACGCATACTGAAAGTTTGCTGAAGCATAACGAACCAAGTAAAACATGGCAGAGAAAGTAACCAATGCAATTGCATTTGCAGTCCATGTATTTGTACACCTACAGTGTGAATAAATCTATACTCCTCTATTTGAAGACCAAAGACTTCTTCCCCTTCACAGTAGTTATAGAAGAGTGCCCAAACCCTATTCCCACTCATGCTCTCAGACGTATTAAGCAACTTTGCATTCTTTTATTGGTAGTCCATTTGTGCATTCACACTGTGTTCAAACTGTGGCACAGGGTTGTCTAGTTTTCATTGCAAAGAGCAATTTTTGAACTACTGTCTCCTGGGGTTTCAGGAATAGCACTCCTATAAGTTTTGCTAGATCATAGCAAAGGATCTACCTTAACGTTTAATAGTGAATCAAGACTATTGCACAGATTGAAAAATCCACCAAGATTTCACCGTAGTACATAGGCAACACAGTCAATTTTCACAGGGTCTGAATTCCTGGATATGAAAAGAGGAGGCCTTAACAAGACTATCATGTCTCAAACAGATATCTTTTCATTTTACATAACAATACATGAAATATTTCATAGCAACCTCCCTGCTCAGGGAACCCATGGCTGCAAAGCACAAGCCAAGAAAACATCATATGAAAGCTGAGAAAGGAAACATTAGCAGAGAATTCCATGTCAACAGGATTGCTCATCTGAACAAGAAAGAAAGTACTATGAGCCAGCCCTGAACCAACATATCAAGGAGGATGACCTCCATGTATGCAGAAAAGAAGTTCTCTGGATTTTAGTAATATATGTATATTTTAGTAATATGTATACTGAAAGAGCCAAAGTATATATGAAATACAAAAGCATCTTGACCTGCATTCTACTAAAGAATTCCTAAGGTTAAACAGAAACACTAGAATCATAAAATGTTACCAATTCCAAACTCCCATCTTTTCAGAATATATTCAGAACATTTTGACTTTCAGATTTAAATTTACTTACAAAGTACGGGTACATCTCCTGCAGTAAAGGCTCCTTCAATTATTTTCCTGTCAGAAAGCTCCATACCCGCATGATGATAAGCCACACCATACATCAAAAGATCTGATAATGTAGTAATTACATCCATTACCTGATTAAGTTCACTCATGCAAATATTCATTCACTAGGTAGAGAAGTAATAGGTTATACTTACCTCTGAGCTTGGAATCTTTCAACGAATTGGCAGACTTCTGTAACCTGCACAAAAAAGAATAAATAAATTACAAAACAGATTCATTAATGTCAGCATGCAAAGACAGAGCTTCACATAAAACTAGATGCACAATCGCACCTTTAAAGATTATAAGCAGCACTCCTTGGCAAATACATTTTTTTACATACTTTCTCATAGTACTACTGTATTTTCATTTTTAAAATATGTTCTTAGCTTGTGACTACATTTTAGACTATCAAAAGGATATTGTCTTAAAATAACTTCTTAACCACACATTTTTAGCATACTTTCAATCTCCACTTTTCCCAAAGCAAACAAACTTTTTGTTTGGAACAGCTGCTGCACCCTTTCCAGCCCAATTATCTTTCCAAGACACGACACACAATACAGCTCTCTGACTCAGACACAGAAATCAAATATAAATAGGGTTGGCAGAAATGTGGGAAACAAGGAAAGCAACAGAGATGTATTGCTTGTGTAACATGGAGAGGGCAAAAGTTGGATTCCAAAAATTGGGAAGTAGCTTCTGTGGTTGTCAAGTTGATGATTAATATACATTTTTAAAGGTATCTGATAATGCGTAGACTTCTCATGAGCTTAACTTACTGCACTAGTAAGATCTCGTATACTTAGTCTGCATAATACAAGATCTTACAGGTCCATGGAGATTAACATTTTATGTTGCAAAAATAAGTTTTTAGAAACAACAAAGTATCCCCCAAAAAGTGCCAGTTTAGCAACAGAAATGTCAGCTGTGATGATTTTGTTGCAGATACTCCTCTGCTAGAAGATGTATTAGGTCAGCATCTTTGCAAATGTCGTAAGATTACTAGAACACAGAAACATAGATCAAAAACTTAAGCATAGAAATACCTTTGTTTCTGCTCTACACTCAGTAGAAATTTGGCATCTTTTGAAAGAACAGAAGCAGCTTGCTGCACTCCTTTTCTTGTGGCACAGAACTGTAAGTAAGAAAAATTTTATTTTTTAAATCAACACTTGTGAGTAAGAAACAATTTCAAATGTAACTAAAAAACAACTCATACCACCAGCACTGGTTTTTGATTAGAGTATGCTTGTATAACACTAGCAATTTTGTAGTTCAGTGTTAAGTCAAATTTGAATTCTGTCTGACTGTCACTGCAAGGAAAACCAAGAACAATTTTGCGTAGCTTCACTGGTCGTTGATCCTCATCTACTTTGTGACATACAGCAGGGATCTTCCCATCTGAAAGCCATTCTGCAATCTTTGAAAAAGAAGAAAAAGAATTTAAATAATCATTTTCTGTTTTCAATCATGCTTTACTCCACCTGCATTACACAATAATTAATTTTCTTTTTATCACACAAACTACTACTGCATTGCACAGTGCTCTCACCATTAAAAACATAGGTGAAGTTCTACTAGACCAGTATAATTGGGACTGTAATCTCAAGTCTGTTTAGATATTAAAGTATTAAAGATAAAAAATCCCAGATATCTAAAACAAAAGCATAGCCACTTTTGGCTGATACTTCTCTATGGCTGAAAACCATTTCTTATGATAACATCAACCATGTAGCTGCCATCAGCTGACAGCTTCAAAATGACAACTCTGTTATTCAATCTTTACTTAGAACTCTATTTTATATTAATTCAAATGCGGTTAAAATGCAACTCTTACATCTTCGGCGTTTGGAATTGTTGCTGAAACAGCTACAAATCTCAAAGGAGGAACATGGTGATTCTCTGAAAGACGCCAAAGAGAAGACTGAACCGTCTTCATCCGACTGACCACAACTTCCAACGTTGCGCCACGGCTTTCATGCTTTATGACATGCACCTATCAGGAATTCCAAAAAACATTTGCAAAATATTTCTCGTTATACTCCAGACGATTGTTAAATGTTTTACTTTCTAAGAGTTTTCCTTTCTTCTTCAAGAAGAAAAAGAGCGTATAGGATCATTAATTTTCTTGCCTCATCTATGAGAAACAGTCGCACAAGCTGAACTATAGAGTTGTCTTTCCACCTCCTAGTCATGCTATCCCATTTTTCCTAGGATACAAAATGTCAAGAGGAAAACAATGTTTGAAAGACAAACATATGCCTGAAATAAAGTACATGTAGGCATGCTTAACTTTTAACACATCTTTAAATAAAATCTGTTAAATAAAGCCAAGCTAACTTCAAGCTAACCTATCATGTAGGTTTCATCTGACATGGTGTTATATTATTTGCTGATATATGAAGCAAAAGCATGCAACAGCAGTTTACAGACAACTATAAAGATCATAACAATGTTCTGAAAATTGCTACTCTTTGTTGAAAAAAATGAAAAGCAGACCTGGCAGCATATGATTGGTTGACCACTAAATCTGCTTATTCTCTTTCTGTAAGAACTTGAACTGAAACCTACAGGTGTTGTGATAATAATATGAGCATGATGTATTTCAAATAAATCGTCCACCACTGTATCTCCTGTCAGTTCCTTGCAGCTGAGTCCTATGGGTCCAAATTTTTCTTTCCAATCATCAAAACGTTGACTGCATAGAGCTTTTATTGGCGCCACTAAAAATAACATGACATGATCAGTTACATCACGAACACCAGACCTTCAGCAGTACTGATACAAATTCTAAGTGCAGATGCGTTCACGAATTCTCCAATTTTCAGTTTTGTTCTCAAATCCATAACGGTAACAACAGGTTATCATACTCCTTGTGTGTAGATCAATTTTGAGCTTTAGGCCAAGAACCATGGCTCTGTTGCCTTTGAACAATAGAAAGAATAGACAGAAAGCAACAGTATGAAACCTTTCCAGATAAGCAAATACAGAAAATGTATTCTCTTAAAGCAGCAGACAGGCACACAAAAGATACTGCTTAAATTCTGGCTCTGCCCACATGCATTTGATTTAGTTTCATTTGCTTAATTCTCTCCTTTTCATGTACATTTTGCCTCATAAGAGAACAAACTCTTTACAGGATTTTTATTTTTATCTGTATTAAGCTATGGTGGTCACTATATTTATACACTACTGTTACTTACATAACTTCAGTATTATTAAAGCACTCGATCTATACCTCCACACTCACAGAATGACAATTTCTACTGCTGTCATCAAAATGCTCAAAGCTGCATAATACTTACTATAAACAACTTTAGTATTTAACCAAGGCATTGGGACTTCCATAAGTAATCTGGTAATAGCTAGTTCAAACATTACAGTTTTTCCAGAGCCAGTTGGAGCACAAATCACAAAATTTCTATCTGTATAAAGAAGCTGGGAAAGAACAGCATAGCAGTAAATATAACATAGCTATTGTACCTGTTCACACATTCCAAAAGAACTGTCTAGGTGAAAAGGACACACACACACAAATATTACATTGATATACATAGTGCCATAGTGAATTTTGTATGAGGTGCAAAACTTAAATTAGAGCAAAATAAATGTGCTTGCTATACACCTGCCACACAAACAAGAAAAATATTGCTTCTCTAAGGTTATTATGCAAATCTACCATTCTGTGACAAGCACAGAAATGCCAGTAGCTTAAAAAATCGCACTTAGAAGCTGTGATGAATGATGCTGGTATTTCCCATAGAGTTGGATAAAATTTTTAAATGCTTTTAGAGACTGCTAAGACTGATTTCCCCTCTCCGCAATATGTCACAATCTCAAGTTATTTGCTTTTAAAAAAGCATACCTGATAAGAATAAAGGATGGGTAAAAGGCACTTTCCCAAACGGACATCCTTCACTAAAGTTCTCCTTTATACTCCTTTGAAAACCATTTAAAACCATTAGCAATCTGTGTAAGTACACGCTGAACAGAATCCTGCTTAACTACTTCAGGAAGAGATTCGAGATATCTTGTAGCTTTCAATTTCCTTTTCAGTTTTGAATATTAAAATTTCATTTACATTTATGCAATACGTTTATCTGCAAAGTACTACTTACAGCTGCAGCTAATGTTTCATACTTACATCATCCAAAGCTTTAGACTGTGCATAGTTAAAGTATGGAAACTCCTTAAAAATACACCTAAATTGGGTTGCTTGAGAGCATTAAGGAATTGAAAACAACAGAGTGAAAAGTTTAACATTTCTTTTAAAATTGTGAAACGGAGGCTTTTCTTGCAATTTAAATTCAAGTCTAAAATACATCACAGTTATAAAAAAGGAACTCATTAAATGATTCAGTAGCACTGTTTAGATTTAGATACCAAGTATTTCACTTTACAAAGAAAATAAACCCAGCACCTATCTAAAAGATCTCAGGATTATACCACAAATCAAGAACCTCCTCCATAGAAGCATCATGGAAGTGCATGCAATTATGTCATGTGAAAGCATTTATAAGAGCAAGCAGAGCACTGCTGTTAAAAGTATTTGCAGTGTCAACTGCCACATTTCTGCTACATAACAAATGTAATTAACAAGCACAGTATTGTATGCCCAGTTGTAAAGAAATCCACCTATGATATCTAAATGCTAATGGTGGTTTTAAAAGTATTTTCAATGGCTAATATTATGTATTTTTCAGACAAATATGTTCCTATCCATAATACAAGCAAGAGGAAGGAGAGCACTGTTTCATTATAGATCCAAATGAGCAAGTTGATCCTCGCCTGGACTTGCACTGAAGCCACACAAGCAGTCTAACCACAACCATCTGATCAGGCTGCAGGTGGATGCAAACACAGCTGGATGTAACACCAGCAGCAACACCAACAATGAACAGCTGAGGACTTGGATGAATGTTACATCCATTTAAAAAGACTCAATAAAAATATAAAGAAAAAGGAAGAATTAAAATAAGAAATCAATTAAATTAAGAAAAGAAAAAAAAAGATTTCTTTTAAAGGCTTCTCTAAAATTACTCCCCTAAATAAATGACCCATTTTCAAAAGGATAAACATCAACCACCTGCAACAGGAAGCACCAGAACTACTGAATAGTTGCTTGTTTAGAATACTATGTCAGTTCTCTAACTGTTCACCTGAATTCAGTGGCTAATGTAGCCATTTACTCTTCATGATATTTAGCCTATCATTTGATATCTTACTAGCAACAAAATATTTAAGTGTGAAAAATGCAAAAAAGCAGTTTGTTATACCAATGGATAGTTACTTATGTTAAGGATTCAAAGCAGGAATAATAAGAATTTGCATAAAATCTGCTTAAAATTAATGAATGGAAATATACCATATGCATACAAGACCAAATATCTGCACAAGACCAATGATCTGTAAGAAGTATGCCGGTCACTCTGAAAGTAATGCCTTCTATTTATTTCCACAGATAAAAGAGTGTGATAATGCCACCTGATTGAGCAAAAGCTACAAAATACTGTTTTTCAACGTAGACACCACCATCAGCTGTGCATTTTTGCCAGCCAAAAAGAAGAGCCCACATGCCATGCCTGTAAAAATGCACGAGTGGAGGCACTGCTGTTGCACTGCTGAAATGCAGCACCCACCACCTCACTGTGGTCACATCTGCTGTGTGGTCTCCATATGCGTTCAGCTGGCATCAATGAATTTCAAAGGTTCGATTTTTTTCCACACCGAAACATTCAACAAACACCTTTGCTTCATACACACTTCCACATGGAAGGTCGTTCTGTCAGACTGCCCCTCTGCTGCCATCTGTCGTACAGCAACAAACTGAAACAGAATATTGGTGGGAAGGATCAACCTCTGCTGCGACACGACCGACATCCACCTCTGATATCATGGGCCACCATCTTAAAATAGCAGGTTTTGCTTTCAGAGCAGCCCTCACATGTAAAGCCTGTTTTCTCTTGAGAATTTGGGGCAAGAAGTAGGATTCATTTTTCCTAATAACTCTAAATACTGATTTACTTTTTTATTTATTTAAAGTATTAGAGATTATGTATGTTTATGTGTGTCAGCATATATAATGTAGCCTTAAAAATATATTCTGCAAACTAAAATTTTCACATTTTTCATTTTAAAAATAAGTTGCTCTGAGGATAAAATGTGAACATTTGAAATAAGAGCCAATTTGCTTAGCAATGAATATGTTTATTATAAATTGTCCTATTTTCACTCTAGCTTAGGAAATCCCAGGCATAAACACCCATTCATCATTTGATTCCCCCTGGTACTACGTTGCAATTCAAAACTATTGCAGAGTAATGCATGAGTTCCTATGGCTGCAAATTAAACCTGTAATTTTGTAGACATAGAAGCATTGTAGATCAGTAGACCAGATACAACAGATAAAAGATACGTATTTCTGTAACAGCCCTCAAAATTTCCAAGCTTCTTCCCGTAGTTCCTAAATAAAAGTAGATACATTTATAAAACCAGATTTCGTTATTTTCAACCAATAGCCATGAAATCCTGACTCTAAGCTACGCATTTTGTGAGGTGCTGCAAGGCTGTATGGAAAAAGGAACAGGTGACACAGAAGGAGCTGACAGGACACAGAGGACAGAAGCCTATCATCTGAAAGAATCACTTTGTAGCCCTTTGCTGAACTCTGGTTCCAGGGTGTCTTGCTCGTATCAGAGAGCTAAATCTGAATGCAGTACCTACACATCTGAGAAGCGAGTTAAAAGTCATGCAGAAGTGCTGAGAAGAAGGGGAGAATCCACTTTATCCATATTTATTTCCTGACATTTATTTATTTATTTATTTATTTATTTCCTAGTCAGCCCATTCCACAGGGATTCCTCCTTCCTCAGGGCAGGACTTGGCATTTGACCCTACTGAATTTCACCAGGTCCCTGCTGGTCCCTCCTCCGCGGATGGGTCTCTCTGAAGAGCAGCCTGGCTCTCAGATGCGCTCACTGGTGTCCACCCCCATTTACTGACATTAATAATTCCTCAAGCTCACTGCACCACTTCCCCAGGTCACTGAGAGGGATGCTGTGCAGCCCAAGTGCCAGGACAAAGCCCTGCTTCTGCACTGGAGACAGGCATACGAGTAGAGCACAACCCACTAACCTGCCTCTCTCAGCCAACCATTTTGTAACACACTTGTAATGGATTTGTAACTCATTCAGACCTTAATATCCCGATCTAGATGCAAAACCATTGCAGAAAACAGTGTTCCTCAACTCTAAGATCCCACAAAAACCCTTGCTGAACTCAGTGACATGCAGTGCTCTCATCCTCTCATAGTTGACTAGTGTCTAGTAACTCAGCACAGCAAGCAATCAGACAGGAAGCCATTCCTGGCCAGCCTCCAAATCTCTCTTTCTACTTTCAATAGAACAATAATAATTACCTGTCATATCCAGAATCTTTGAAGCACTGGACAATGATTTTATTTTAATTCCAATTTTAGATGCCATGTCCCCATCATTTACCCTATGTAGGGTAAAACCTGAGTCTGTAGTTACTGGAGGCTGATGATTTTCTCTCCATGTATTTTTTTTCACTTCTGTCACGTTTTCACTTGTATTAAAGTGAGTATCAAATTCTTTCACATCCATTGAACTATCTTTAAATTCTGTATTTTTATAAATACAACCAGGCATTTTAAATAAGCTGCAAAAGATGCAGGATTTTTATTACTCTGTTGTATGTTAAATAGTTTCTCCAATATTTGAAAAATAAGCATATTTATATTAGAAACACAACTAAAATGTTACAATAATAAGAAAAGTTTGCATCTAGTTTTATTGGATCTGACATTCCTCTACATGAAGAGGACTCCTTTCAGGGTACATTTTAACTTTAATTTCATTCCAGAAAGAATCTGAAAAAAAAAGTGAACTCCTTGTCCAGATGCATTCTGAATCCCAATAGTACATTAACTGCCAATCTCTGCATAATTAAAAAAAAAGAAAAAAAGAAGAAAAAAAAAAGAGAGAGAGAGAGAGAGAGAGAGAGACATACGAGGTTCAAGGACTGAGAACTGGGCATAGGAGAGGTGCTTAACTGTAAAACCTCATCTCCTTGGCAGCACTGAAATCGTGCTGTGAACTGTTAAAGATATTCCTCTCTGATCTGTTGTCTTGCTCTTCACAATAGATAATGAAGTTGAAATGGTATTTTCAATAACCCGTCCTATCTAAAAAATTATTGACATTAAAAAAACAACAGCATGCTTATCTTCCTCATAGAAGAGCCTGAACTCAGGACACATTTAATTACAGTACTAAAATACTGCCAAAAGGAAACTTTTTTCTTTACACTGAAAGGATTTAATGTCTGGAGCCCTATTGAAGTACACAGAGGATCAAAAACTCTGCATTTGAGAAACAGACCTAAAACAATCCTACAATCGCTGAGTTATCAGAACTGACTGCAAACGTACCTTTTCCGAAATGCTGAGTGAACACTCTCATCATCACCAATTTCTGGAAAATCAGTTAATATTTTAGTCTGTGGGAAATTTGAATCGGGCTGCTGAAAAATCTCTGTTCCCATTTTATATTTAGCTTGATTGGGAGAGAGAGACATTGAAGCCATGTCCCGACTTCCATGCTTTTTTGTTCTTTCTCCTACACATAACTGGAACATTTCTTTTTCAGAGGCTATGCCGAAATGAGTAGGTGCTGGTGATTTGTCATTTACTTCCTCAGTGATACTCTTACATTGCTGTATGAACTTTTGGTTCTTCACCCCTCCTAGAATAGACAAGAATATTCATTCATATTCCTATTTATACTCATTTCCTTAAACATCTTCCAGATAAAAATCAGTCAACTTCACATTTATTACATGAACTTACCCTCCTGTTTTATTGCAAGAACTCTACATTTTATGACTCATTCTGACAAATACATCTCCTGACAGTTAAAAATTAGGGCCACTTTCCTTGTTTGTTATTTAAAATAATGGAACAAAGCCACTCCTGAGCACTACAAAGTAGATGAAAATTACTTCCAGACACATATTTCACTTTAATCCCAGAAATTTGTGAAATGGAAAACTGTTACTGTGCCTCAACATTTAGACAATCTGTTTTAAAAAATGATTCAATGACTAGACTCGAAGTACCTGCTAAGAACAGCCGTGAGATAAGACCTGAGATCTCAACAGCAAAAATTCCTAATGAAGTCAGTCATCTTAGTTATCTATGATTTGTACACGTAGCTCTTGGTGGAAGCAGTGTCCTGATCTGAGTGACTTTACAAGCATTCTCATTCTCTATACTCAGCAAAAGAGGCAATAGCAGAAATGAACAATTGAATGCAAAAAGATTAAAGGATAGCTGTATTACACAGCCTTCACTTTGACCTGCTAATCCTTTAACAACGACCAGGTTCTAATTTATTTATTTGTTTGTTTAGACTTCTGAGCATGAATGTGGGAAAGTAAGAGGAGCGAGAGTGAGAAGACAGCAAGAGAAGAAAAAAAAGGAAAGAGGAAAATACAAGGGGGGAAAAAAGTTAGGTTCACACAAACTCTGTGTCTTGGGTGGGAGAAGGTCAACAGGTTCACATGCTGCATTATTCTTGTAATTGCTTCCCACCTTTCCATGAAGCACCGTAACACAAAACAAAATAGCTTACTCCTTCCGTCACCCACTTCTGCACAGTGAACTTGCAGGCTGTATGTGCACAAAGGGAACTAGGCCAAACCTTTCCTATAACCAGGACCGTTCCTCTGAACTAAAATATGTTTGCATCTGCATACATACAGTACTCAATAATTCACTGCATTAAAAGAAAGAGGAGGAATTGTATGTCAAGTTAATTATCTGTCAAGTCATTTAAAAGGAATGCCAAATATTTTACCCATGCAACTGCTGGCTGTGTTTTTTTCAAGTTCCCTCTGTAACTCCTCTGCAGGTGGAATTTCATCAATTGCTGGAGCAGGTGCAATCCACCAAATGTTTGACTTGTTATTTTCTAGATCTCTATCATAAAAAATGCAAGGAAAAACCATTCTTAAAGCAACACCTAGATTAAAACAACCATTTCTCCTGCTAAAAAACTTTTAAACTCATGTGATTTTTAATCACAGTAAATTTAAGAGGCAAAAATTCAGCCAAATTCTTCTTACACTCGGAAGATACACCTGCATTATCCGAATCTTGTTAGCTAACCTGAGAAAAATATTTGAAAGTATGAGTTCCTGGAACTATGAAATTTCTAGCCTCAGATTTCTATTAAGAAGTGGAAATGGAAGTTACATTTTAAAAAATCTGCTGCTAAACAATTCACAGTCTGGAAATACTTGGGAAACAATTATATGTATTTAACTGTAAATATTTACCTTTTGTTTGTATCTGGTCTTTCATAAAATAAATTATCCAATGAAAAAACCTCGTCCACAGAGCTGAACATTTTTAGATTGAATGTTAATCTCTAGACCTGTAAAAGGCAGTACAAGTAACTGAAATTAGTTTTCTAGAACTGGGCCTGTACAAGGAACATGTATTTCACCAGAGATACATGTGCCAGTATTTCATCTCTAAATTTACTTTTGCTTTTAGAGATCTTGTCTGAACCCTTAATGAGGCTTCATAAAGAGAATCTCCCTCATGACATAATATAGATCCTATTAACTATGACCAAAACATCCTTTAGGACAGTACTTCAAACAACCCTCACATTACCATGTGTCAGTAGGAAATAACTGGTTAATACTGACGATCCAGGTAGAGCTTTCTCTATCTCATTTTTAAAACTAATGCTGAAATTTGTTTAGATGTTTGCAGACTCATTCTTTTCTCGGACTGTTTCCATTTTGATGGAAAAAAATACAATATTTACCACTGGAACAGACTGTCAATTTTACAAAATAAATGAATGGCTGTATTATTTTAAGTACATGTATATTAATTCACAAGTGAATCAGACTTCTTTTTCACTTATAAGCAAGATACTCACCTGGTTAATTGGACTGTGGGCCCAATTCCTTAATGAGATTTGTTAGAAAACAGCAGAATCACAATTCACAAATTGTTTTTAAAACATACATTAATAAAAGTATCATTCTGTTAGTACCACCTCTAGGCACTATGCTATGTTTACATGTTGTGTTGAAAAGTTCCATTGCTCTTTATTTTGCTTAACGATGGACTGAAAAAGCAAAGATCTCACTAGAAGAATAGCACAGAAATGATCTTATGAGTCAAAACTTTAGGTTCACTTATACTTAGTAAAATAGCAAAGCAACTTTAACAATTAAGAAATGCCAATTTAAGACAACTCTGATAATAAAATAACAAAGCAAACATATCTTCTTTGCCTATAAAGACAAACTAAAGATAATGATCTTTGTTGGTTCTTTTTTGCTCCAGCATCTCATTATAGTAACATAAAAAAAAAAAAAATTCTTACAATGCTTTGCAAATAGAATTCAGGTTCACTTAATTACTGTGTACTGTCACTTGTGAATGTAAATTAAAAAGATATATTTTTCTTCCACAGAAGCTGCAAAACTTCAAATACTCCATAAGAATCTTTCAAATTTAAAACAGAAAACATTTCACAATAGGAGCAGAATATTGAGTGTATAATCATAACTGTGACAACAGTGATTTAGATTCCAGAATTTCAAACAAGAAACCTGTCAATGCCCCCACCACATTCCTTTTCAGTGTAAATCTGCAACATTTCTGTAAACCTCTGTCATTCCTCAACACCAGGTTTTGCCATTTCTTCTAGCAGCAGCGGCATTAGAAATCATAGTAATGTAACAAGACAGGCTAATTTTGCCACCGTTCTATGGCATATGCAATGCCAGTAATCAAAAGCAGGAGTTGTCACTTTGGGTATAAGAATGGGCAGCAGAAAGCATCCATCAGTGCCACCAAGCTGCATTCAATCAGTGAAGGGCCACTGAAGAAATAAGCACCTCTCCATCAGCTCCAAGGAGCTGCAAATGCTGCTCAGCAGTATTAAATGGTTTTCATGCGTAAAGTACAGAATGTGCAAGCCAAGGTTGTGCAACACCATCTGAACACTTTTTCTGTATGCTTCCCACCTTTGAGTAGTCTTTGTTATTCACATTAGTTAAACTCCAAGGTGCTCCAGGCTCCCTCTCTACACAGCCTTCATTCTTTGACTGGCTCTGTTAACTCCAATTGCTCAGTGACTCAAATTGATACACATTGAGGGGAAAACCCTGGCTCACCGCTCCTTTATGTGTTGCTGTATTCACACATCTGCTCACTGCCTGCCCATCAGGATATCTCCACAAGAATCCTGAGCCAGGAAATTGTAAAAAGTTTCTCAGATTCTTATGTGCAATAAACCAAAAAAACAAAACCAAACAAAACCAAGGAGGCCTCAACACTTAATGCTGTCGGTTAGCACAGGGAAAAAATACTCAAGATGGCAAAACTTAGATGTGCAGGTGTCGGCAGGAGCACCACCAAATATTGATTCACTTACAAAGGGACACGTGCCAACTCCTGTAAGCAAAGACCTTTCTGTGTATCTGCTTAAAGAAATAGCTTTCTACAGACACATGGGATTTTCTTCTGTTTTGAAGCTGCGTTGCTCTTTATTTCCCCCTAAGCCTCATTGCCTGCCTCAGCCGGCCGCCTTCACCTCAGCGAATTCTCCAGGGGGCGCCAACGGAAGGTCCCCACCTGCAGGGACGCCGACCTAAACAAACGTTCGTGCTCGGTCCCAGCCGTGGAGAGGTGCCCTTGGGCTGGAGGCAGGGGTCATCCCCACCTGCCAGGCTCACTCCCCGCTCCCACAAGGCCGAGGCCTCCCTCTGCTCTCCTCCCTCGACCGACGAGGGCGAAGCTCTCAGCGCGCCTCCCGTCACCCCCGCACAAAATGGCGGCGGCGGTGAGGGAGAAGCGGTGATGGAGCGCGCTCGCTTCCCCTCAGCCCGCTGCGGTCAGAGCTCCATGCACGCGCTCCGCGCTGCAGGTGCCAGATTTAGGGCTTGGCCAAACACGGACTTACCTGAAATTACTCTGTTGTCGGGAAGCCCTTGCTAGTTTTTACCCTGACACAAATCAGCATAGGGGGCTGATATCGTGTGACTGCATTATGAAAAGGGTTCCTACAGGAGGGAGAAATGAATACACTGGAAATACTGCTCCTTAAAATATTTTCTAGTGGATTTCCGAAAAATTGTGTAGATATATTCTTGCTGCTGCATTAGAGCAGCAAAGGTGCCTCAGACAAATTACATGCACTGAACCAGCACCACGTGAAGGATTTGTGAAATGCAGAAGTGGGTTGCTATTATTCTCCCCCAGAAATGCTGGAGCTTGCAGTTCAGGACTTGCCGTTAGAGCACAGCTTCCGAACAAGTAAATTTAAAATAAATTGCAGAACTGTCTCAGAAAGACTCAATTTTGAGCTGGTTCAAAGCTTCGTGCCATTCAACAAATACTATAGAGGCAGCAACTGTAAATATGTATTTCCTCATACATAAATAGATGAAAAGGAGACATAAGATTTTCTCAAATACTGATTGATTTTAACATGAATAATTTTTATTTAAGCAACTTTTTTGTTTCACTTTCTTGAAAATATTAATTTTTAACTTTCGATTTCATATTTGTACACATTGTTTACATATGTATATTCTCTAGTGCTGTGGAAGTGCCTGGTCAATTGAAAGTGTGCAGGAAAGTCTATATTCATTTTTACAATTCTTTGTATAGGAATTTTTTTTCCCCCTTTATTATTACTTCTGATTGCCGATTATTTGACTCACATCAAAACTCTTTAATATTACAGTATTCCAAAGCTGGCACCACGTGTAGATCTTTCATCCACCTCTCATCTAATGACTAGGCAAAGAGCCAAGGGCAAGAAACACTCCGTTCCTACTTCCAACATGACAGGATTTTGGCCAGAACAGAGAAACAAAAGATTTTATGATAAACAGCTTAGAATGCAAACAAGATTGCTGATGAACACATTGTCCGAAATTAAATTCTGAAACCACCAGAATTATTCACTAGTTTATATAACAATGGGAACGTTTTTGAGGACTACTCATTGTATTCTTGCAATAAATTCTGAAACCAGAAAACATTTTTACTTCTTACTATTAGAGAATGCCTGCTTCAATTCTGGCCTCAGGCAAGTTTCCATCTTAGTTCACAACATCTGCTTTTAGCTGACCAGACTTTAAAAGTTTAAAGCGATAATACAAACAGTTCATTTTTAAAGCTATTTTTTCTTCGATTCCCTTCCCTAGGTGACATCTCCCTCAACACACATACACAAATCACATAAAATATATAGCAAAGCAGTCTCTCAACAGCTCTGAGACAGTTTAATTTTTGATTTCCCTCAAGCCTAACATCTGATCTGCCATATGCTTTGAGTCTTTCCAGCTCATAGAGATACATACTAAGCCATAAACCTCCATATTCTGGAGAATGCAACTAAAAAAAAAATCACGAACACCAGACATTGGTCAGTGATCCATATGATAACAGAGTAATCCTCACACTAAACGCAAATTTGTTAGAAGCATCAGTTTTCTCCAGAACTTACAAAGTGAACAGATCAATTAAGAACAAATTAAAAGCAGAAAAACAACGAGACCTAAGAAGAATGACAGTTGCCAGTATCCTATCTTAGTTTCCTTTGTCCAGCTTTATCCACAATTTCAAAGACGTGACAGCATAAACACTGGTCTCTAAAAAGTGCCTCACCTCATAACAAATCACTGTGAAATATCAGAAGGTCTTAAAATCACATACAAACCTTATGATTTTGTACCATGTGCTTGAGATTGTGGCAATGACTCATTTATTAAAGAAATCATAGTAAAACTTAAGAATTCAAAAAATATCTGCAGTTGTAACATTCTTTTCAGTCAAAACCAGGCAATAAAAATATAGCACAAACTAGGTTGCCTAGTTGAGGAAAAGCAGGGGTGAATTTCTTCTGTTTTGTCCTGCTGACTAGCACTTACTTGGCCCTGTTGTTGCCCCCCTGCAGGAACTTAAACCTGTAAGTAACTTGACTCATGGAAACTAAAGTTACTCATGTGCATAAGCGTTTGCAAGATTGGGTCTTAAGAGAGCTAAACGCAGCTTCCCCTGGAAGCTGGCAGTGCTGCCCTGCATGTCAGCCAGAGGGGATCTCCCAGACTGATACACGGCGCTGCTCCCCTGGGTCCCACTGAGCAGGCTGTTAGTGCCTTGCCCCTAACATATGCTTTCCCAGGAAGTGTAGGTCTTGAACTTTGATTTTTATGCGGCTAAATATATTTAGCATATGGTTTTTCACAATGAGTTGGGTGAAACATTTTTTACTCCTGTACTTCTTTACCTTCGTTCCCTGTTTTTACTTTCTCATCCATACATTTTTTCAGACATGAACTTCTCCTACAAAACCTGTCAAGCAGACTAGCCACCAAGGACCGTTTTTATTATATATAGTATTTGTATCTTACTTCTAATTAACAAAAGAACCACATTCCATATTTAGAACTCCACCCTGAACAAATCTCATCATGTACAAATGTCATTTTATATCACTCAGTGTTTAGAGAGTAGCAATTTTGCACATAGAAGAGATAATATTGAGAATAGATCTTATGGTTCACAGAGCTGATACTCTGTAGTTTTTGTATGTTTAATCTGTTGGCTCAGTTGATAACATGAGGTACAGACAGAGGAAATAAAATGAGATCAGTGCTGTGGGAGCGTGTTTCATCAGTGTGCACTCCCTAGGAGGCAAGTCAGTGCTGCTTCCCTTAACATATGTGGAATCTCCCATTGATAAAGTCCAGGTGCATTCAGATTTTTAATAAATAGCAAATAAAGCTGAAAGTTGTATCTGCAACTGTTTTGGAAAACAACTGCTATTTTCATCTTGTCATTTCCAACAATCTGCTGTTTTTTGTTTTTTTTGTTTTTTTTTAAATGTGAGGATGGAGACTACAAAAATTTGTTGTAGTCAGAGCTTAATAGAAGCAAAAAGTATAAAGTGCCCTCAATTTATTAGCTTTTTGTTCTAAATTGTTGTGGATCAATGATATATTGGTCCATGTAACATCTGGATGCTGAATTCTCTGATGGTTTGTTCACTGTCACAAAATCCTGTCAGCATTTCTTGTTTTGCACTGGAGACTATGGTTTTCCATTGGGAAGAATGATTCAGAAGATCCTGAAAAGTAATACATCTGTACGTTTCTTCTTTTTCTCTAATGTATTACAAAATGTACAGATTCTCCTTCTGGAATAATTTTATCATTTGTAAAAAATAGAAGCACTTTTAACAAAAACAACATCATGAATACTCTTAAGCTCTACAGTAAGATCCCTGTTCCTGCACAAAACTTAAGTCATATTTGATTTTTGCAGTGTGAACCTATTCATAATTTTATCAAACTGGTTCCCTGTGAAATAGCCTATTTTGCTCATGTTTTGAAGTAGTGTGAACTGTTTATGGATTTTCAGCTTCAATAATGAAAACAAACAGAGCAATCTTCAAAGATCAATCCAAATCACCAGGTAAAGGAGAATTTTGAAAATTACATCCAGTCTTCCAAGTCTTTCTTTCTACACGTATTCCGAAACACCACCTGCAGAACAGTTAACTGTGAGTTCAGATTATAACCAAAAGCTTGCTAACTTGCAGCTGCTAATTAAACTGGCAAAAAAACTCAACCCAAGAACTATGGAAAGAAGTCACCCACAAAGTCAGTCAGGATATGCAGGAAAATAAGGGAAATAAGATCTTACCTTGGAAAACTTGCTCATACAAACATTTTAACATCACTGAGACATTTGTCAATGTTAAAGGAACAGTTTTGAAAATATGAGTCTAATAAAAAATGAATACATATTTTGTTTTTCACATGGCATTTTTATTTATCACATGAGTTTCTGTTTAATGAGATTTTTTTTTTAAATTTGACATATAATGGCATCTGGAATAGACCAGAGGTAAGGAGACTTCCATCCTTGGTATGACATTCTGGCCACTTAGTCATCTGTATGTCTGATTCCTTCTCTTGAAAAAAATTTATGTTTGTGATTCTGCGTCCATTCCATTTTCTCTAGGGAAAAAAAAAAAGAACCCAAAAAGACAGCAAGTAGGTACTGACCTCTTCAAGATATTCATCCACACTCCATTGCCTTCTGAAAATAAACACAAAGGTTTCTAGAGAAGCTGTTTCTACTCTCTCCCTTCCTTCCTTGATCCCATTCCCTTAGTAAGCTCAATTTGATTAAGTTCCTGAAACACACAGACTGTGTTTAAAGAATCAACGTGATGCGTGTGTAAGGTGAAATGCATTCAGCCTGTATGATTAACAGCTTGACGTAGTCAGGTCAAAGACACATGTGTATTCAAGATAATTCTGATAGTTCTTACCATCTTTCCTGAGCTGACAGTCTGCTTACTCAGTTATTTCTAATAATCTTCTGTGCTGTAGCTGTGCAGTGCATTTTAAGTTAGACAGCAACAATGTGCCAATTAAGTTTCTGCAGAGTATGTCATCAGAACGCACTACAGATCCTTAGCTTTTTCAAACTAGGTCCGTGTATACAGATTTTGTTTGATCTCTGTTCCATGTCAGCCTGGTTTTGAAACAAACTGTAACTAGAAGATAGTTCTTTATGATATGTTAGTTATCAAGAATGTAATCTATACTGATAGAGTGAGAAAGAGTTCATGCATGAACTGTCACAACGTGGGCCTTTGAAAGGTGCGAGGAAGCCATACTGCTGTAAATGCACAAAGAGGTTGACATTCTAGTGCACACAAGAATGGTGTAAGTATCTAATATTAAAGCATCTATTATATCATAGCTATTGGTCTCACTGACTTTCTTCTACATATCTATTGCATGAGTCTTGAAATCATTTGAACAGGATATTTTTCCCAGTTTAACCAAATGTGTATCTATTTAAATTTCAGTGATGTATATTTGGTTAGAAAATCTTCTTGAAATAAGTGTAGTTCAAAATTTGAAAATAGTGTCTTACATTCATATGCAGTTCAGGTAATTCAGCTTTAAGCTATGGCACTTGAGGCAATTTCACCCGTTTTGACACATTATCTTCTGAAAAAAATAAGGTTATATGAGAAGCAGCAGAATTAAAAGCCTGAGTACACTCACATTTAAGAAACTGTCCATCACCAGATGTGTTTATTCCAAGCAAAGTGCAGACTCCATATTGCAGGACGTCAGAAACAGGCATTGCATCAAACTGAACATGTTCTGGGAAAGTTCCAACTGAAAAGTAAAGGCAGTGACTGAAGCTTAGGGATTTCTCACCATCACAGAAACCTTTGAGTTCAAACTCCCTCTGTACTTTGGCACAAAATGTTGAAGATGGTTTACATGCACTCAGCTTAGCCTCAAAGTAACACAACAGCTTTGGTGACAGTGGAGAGTCAGAGATAGCAACATGTTGCAAAGGAGGAGAACTTCTGTCAAACTACATTTACTGATAAAAATGGAAGAGGCAGCAAAGAACACTGTTGAAAAATGCAGTATGCCGACACACTACCAAAAGAAACAGAGCTAGAAATGAAACACTTTTATAACAAGCTGACTACTGACAACGATACAGAAAGTAGGTGACAGCATTTCAAAGTCAAGACATTCTACATACTTGTTGATGTGTTTACAACATAGATGAAAGAGCAGTTTCAAGATTTCACAGAGAAATGCAGGCTGACACATTGACATTGATAAAGTTTTTAAAACATCTTCTTATATAAAACCATGAAGAAAACTTTGCAATTTGCATATTTAGTCCAGATAGTTACTAATCAGTCCTGACACTTCTTAATTCAAGCTATATAAATTTACCATTGTTATTATTTTTTTTTTTAAGATACAAAGAAGGGGACATGTTTAAATAAAGATGAAATGGTCAGTGGATTGAAGACTGTAATTATGGAAGAACAGAGGATGTCATAACACTCCACACTGACAGCTTTGTCAGCCTTCTTCTGAAGGTGTTTTATATATTTTCTATTGGAATAGTCTATTGAAAATTGAAAGCCTTAGCTTTCGATTCTGGGGAGGATTTGGGAACTTAAAGAAACAAACAAGTTCCTGCAAAGCGTAGTTGTCTTCTCCATTCCCATTTTCCAGACAACATTGTTACCACAGCACTCACTGAAGAATTCTTCCTTTTGTGTAAAGCAATTTAAGCACACATCTCTCACTTCAAGTGAGAATTCTTAAGCGCTCAGTTACTAGGTTTTGTGGTCCAGGTTTGCTTCATCTCTCTGTGGTAAAACTGCCCAAAATGGTATGGAATAATTAAACCTTATATAGGAAGAGTGTGTATGTGGAAGCATGAGGAAAGTCACCTGAGGATTGGGAGGCTCCTCCAGCCAAACCACAGCATTCCCCTAGGCTATGAGAGAATACAGTCTTGTGCTCACTTGTCCAAATATTTAATTCATGCAAAAGAGCCCAACCAGATACTCACTGTAATTAAGCAAAGTAGGTCTAGTGACATTTGGTTCACATTCGCAAGGAGAAACAAAGGGTCAAATCAATATTTAAGAGTGGAAAATTTGATCTCATTCTAATAACTCTAAATTTCAGGAGCAGATTCTATGTAACTTTAAAAACTGTTTAATGTATGATGAAAGAAATGGAAAATTAAGAACTGCCTTAACAAAATGCTTTTGGAACTCATACTAACTTAGAAAAAATTAGTAAGATCAAGTGAACTGCTGTTGTAGCACTGCCAACATATATATAAAAAGAAAATCTATCATCTGTCAGTGTCACCTTGTTTTATCTTGTTTTTCTCTTGGCTTTTGCAGAGCCAGAGTTGTAAGACCAAGGAGGCCATGTTAATCTCCAACAAGAGCCCCTGTGTGTAAAAACTCAGAAAATTTTATCAAGTCACCACCTTTTAAAAACAACTTTTCCTTTACTCTCCACTCTTTCTTGTTTTCTCCAAAGCGTGACCTTTGGACTGTATTCATGGTCTGTACATTGACTTTGGAAGTGGGGGGATTTGAGACAGAAATATCTCCTCAGGCAATAGAAGTGGCAACAGCAGGAGTACCAGGGAGAACAAAGCATTAGGATAAATCTCCTCTAAAAAAATAAAATAAAAATAAATACAACACAGTGTTAAGCTATTCCTCCCAGCTACTACATACCACAGGGAAGAATCTTAATCACCAGCACATAAGGCATACAATATAGATCTTCAGGAACTTAAGACTGAACTTACCTAAACCTACATTAGCCATTAGAAATAATAGTCATTAAAAAAAATTGAGTGTGAGAAAGAATTGCACTAAAGTGTTAAGGCATAAGGCTGGTGCTGATAAAATTTTAAAGCACTTATTTATGGTGTTGCCTATCAGCAAACTGCATCTGACAGCTCTGCTGCTCTCGTCTAGCTACTGCTTTCAGGAATGCCATAGGAAGGTAAAGAGAGACAAGGCAATTATTGTGATGGAGGCAAGATCTATCAGTAATAATGTAACAGTAACAACTGTGCAATAAAACAGTGGACATCAGATCAGTGAAAGAGATTTACTCAGTAGAAGAAAGGGAAAAAAGGAAGACCAGAGGGAAGGGCTCTGAGTGGCTGAGAGACTCCTGGAGCAGGCATCCAGACAAAGAGGACAGGTAAGTAAGAGCTAGTGAAATACTAAGGTCAGCAAAACCATGACTTGCATTAAAACAGAGGAACGGAGGAATAAGAAGCATGTTTCCACTTAGAGTTGGTCAGAAAAGAGAGTTCTCCTCCTGGTACTCAGATACCTCAGACTGTTTTGCTTTTAAAATACTTCAGTTGTTTCATGACTTCCCATCAAAACCTTGGGCAAAGAAGCTGAACATTCTGATTATGGTGAAATTTCAACAGATCATGGCTTTGCTTCAGAAGCATTTCAGTGGTTTCTAATTCACTCACGAGAACCTTGTAGAAAAAAAAAAAAGTATTCAAATGAGACTTTGAAGGAGCAGAATTCTTTTCTTGATTTCAGTTATATTTTTGCAACATCTACAATTTTCTTAGTTTCAGTCTCATAGTGGAAATCCTGGCAGTTATATATTACATATTTATACATTCCAGTCTTAAAAACAAGCCATCTTTTTACCACAATGATTTCCACAGCTAGAGAGTATGTAGCATCTATTCCTGAAGCCACAGGTAGTTGAAATTTGCATGAAATGGTATTTTTATATCATATTTTGATATTATAGAAAAAACTGTTGGCCATGTGTTTGAAAAGGATTAAAAAAGCATTATCCCCCTATTAAACTGGGGAGCGGGGCTTGCTACATACCAAATTTCTGTTGTGTGTTCATAACATTTCAAATGAGTGCTGTTTTAAACATCAAAACCCACATGAAATATCTATAGAAATATTGGAGAATAGAGAAAAAAACTGATACTAAACACCAGAGGAGGTACTGCATTTCATTACTATGATCGTTGCATTAAAGCAAGCTTTTAGGTTAATAATCTAGCAGTTCTTAGAAAAAAAACAATATTTCTATCACACACAGCCAATTTCTCTGGCTTAAAATGAACTCCTTTCAAAGAAGTTAACAGTTAATATTGCTAAGGGATTTCTACCCTCTTGCAAAGCTGTCTAGTTCTAAAACACTGGCTGGAAATAGGACTTCAAGGCAGTAGAGGGAAGCATAAGCTGAGTTCAGGAGCTTTCTGTGATTCTGCATCCATTGAATCATTAGTACTTCTGAAACTCGAGAAAACTGGGTATTGTATAAAATAGCTGCAGGGAGCAGCTTCAGAACATTAAAATACAGTCCACAGGCAATCTTCTAAAAGAACTCCTCTTTCCATAGTTCTGTCCTCCTTTTTAATATTTTAAGCTAGATGCCTTAAGTGATATATGTATTACTTTCCTTTCAGTATGAAATCCCTATCTTTGATGGGCTGCTTTGGTCTCGGGGCCCCAGTGCTGCTGTCTGCTGGGGGCTCCACAAGCGCTTCTCAGCCTGCTGGGATTCAGCACACCTCAGCCAGGCCTGCTGGAGTGGCATACGGCACAGCTTTCTTTGTATGTATTTCTTTGTTCCTCTGTGTAGGGCTATGAAACAGTTTTCTTAGGAGCTGCAACTCTTTGTTCTTGCACAGGTAGCTCTTCAAAACTGGAAGTGCAGTAGACAAATGGAAAACAACAAGTATACTGTTGGTACTTTTCATTAATCAGTGAACAGAGGGTTTAACGCTACTTCTGTTATGGTGAGCGTACGAGCAGTAAATACAACATTGCCTATAACACTAAAGTAATATGAAATAAATGTGTAAGGAGAGGAGCAGAAGCCTGGAGTTTTGGGGAAAGAAGAGGAGTTGACAGGTTTTAAAGGTTGGTTTTTATTTTTAAAATTCCAGAGGTTAGAGGCAAAGTTCCCTGGGGGTTAGAACTTTAAAAATAATGTAAGTGCTGGAAGTATAAAAGATGTAATAAGGAAAGGTCTCAAGCCAAGTCTGTTTTTCTGCTTATTTGTTCTGGGAGCGGATTTTCCTCTTTGGTCCTTTTCGCACCACTGATGCCAAAATATGGAAAACAGGAATACTGACAATGTAAAAAAAGCAAAACAAAATAAAACCCAACACCTAAATATTTTAAAATGAGGATCAATAGGTGGAATGTACCTAGAATTCATAGATTTTAAAAATGCATAAAACAGTACACTAGTCAAGCAAGAGTCTTGTTTTCCCCAAATGACCTTTAACTTAAACAATTCAATTTCGCTGAAGCAGAACACAGACTTGAAACAGAGAAATGTTCGCTCATGGAAGGTGCACAGAAGAAATCTGCAGTATCTAAAGGATCACAGAAGTAACAACAGTGGAAAAGTGAAATTACAATTGCCCAGAAACAGTTTAAGACACTGAAAACTTAGCTCTGTGCACTGATTAAAGAAAAAAAAAACAAGGGGAAGCAAGCTTGCACACATGTTGTTAGATCATATTGAAAGTGACATAGTGCTAAAAGGATTCAGCCAAAGAAGTTGCACCAGTGTAAGGCAGGGCAGAATTGGGTTCTATCACATATATTATACATGCGCTGCTTGTTCTCTTCTTCTGTTCTGTTTTATTCTGACCTAATAGTTGCCCCCCCCTTGTCTGCAATGCGGACTTCATCCTTGAAGCTTCCCAGATAGCTTCCTTTTCCTGTGTATTACTACTTTCATTGCTTTGTCCATCTGTTTTTCTACCAGTTTCATCCTCATTGTAATCTCCCATTAAGAAATCTATTGAAGCTATCATGAGATCTATTTGCATCCCTAATGTGAGATGTTTGTATTTTGACTTCATTGTTTCCCATTATAAGCACACAGTAGACACTTTGAAATAAATCAATTGAAGGCAAATTTTAAGGTAAAAATAGACTTGTTTGTTTGTTTTTGTTTTTAAATCCTCAGCTATCCCCACAGGCTCTTCATTGATTTCAGGATCTATTCAAAGTTTCTTTCCTTTCCTCCATGCATTTTCTCCAGACTCCCCTTTTATCTAAAGGGTTTGACTTTCCATTCCACCTTTCCTTAGAAAGAAATTTTCATCAGAGTTCTGTGGGCGCCAAACACTATCAAGTAATGCTGTGTCACACACACAGTATGTACTGCTTTGCATTGCATGTATACAAATAAGGTTAGCAGGGAATAAGTTCCCAGTGGCCAGTACCATGCAAAAGTGCCCTGGGATAAACAAACCACTCACAACACAGAGTATCCTTAACTGTGACTGAGGGGTATATTTTTGGTAAAAGCAAAAGGAAATTGGGTTTTCAAAGCCAAGAGGAACGTTTAGGACACAAAGCCTGTGGCTACAAGAAGATTGAATGTAGTAGGATTGTGATGGAATAACCTCTCAGCCTTTCTTCTGGCATGAAAGACAGTGTTCATAGGGAAGTGGAGCACTGCAGTTGCCTTATTTCTTTGCTTTACTCATAAGACAGCTTGCTAAGTCGTGGGTTTCCACAACAGCCTCAAGATTCTTGTAACTAGGACAAACATGAAGCCTTCACAGTTTTCCTCAGCAACTACCAAGTTAACACCATAATCTTCTAGCAATTTTTCCCTGATTAGCACTATTTTCCATTCTGTCCTTTATTAATTTTACTGACATTCTTTAAGAAACTGCAGCAAGCTGTTTTTGATGTCTAAAAAAATTTTAAATCCTTCCATCCAAAAAAATTTATTTTTGATCCTTCCATCTAATCCTACTCATTTCCAATTTCTTATGAAACCTTGTAGGATAATACCCATCTCTAAATGACTCCTTTTATTTTGCTAAAAATTCCATTTAGCTGAGGGACAGTAAAAACCAATGATCAGTATGACAGCAAGCAACACTTGAGGAATGCACACAAGTGACAGTTTATTACCAAATTTGTACAAAACCAGTGACATCTCAACACCTTACTTGTATGGAGCATGTGTGGGTAGCCACATAGCTGACAATTCTGATGTACAACATATGATCATCCCCCTTGCCTCACTTATTTTCCTTTCAGGGACACTAGTAGGAAGTCCATTTTTTGGTAGACAAAAGAACTGAAGTTCACTCATTTTTGTGGTTTAACCTGGCTGGTAGTTACACACCACAATGCCATGGGATGGCCGAGAGAATGGAAAAGGGGAAGAGGAGGAGAACTTATCAGCTGAGGTAAGGGCACTTCAACAATAAATGTAAAAACAACACAGCCAACCATTGAAAAAATAACCAACCAAACCACAGCACACAAAAGGGGAAAAAACAACACAAAAACAAATGAGTAAGTGATGCGTTAGTAATTGATGCACAAGGCAATTGCCGACCTCCAGCCAAGCCACGTCCAAACAGGCCCCAAGCAGCAGCAGCAGCCACCCCTGCCACTGCTGATGCCATAAGGACAGGCACTCCTTCAGTAGGCTGAGGCCACCTGATCAGTTTCTGCCACGGCAGTGAGCTTACTGGCAGGGCAGTGTCAGAAGCAGAGCAGTCCTTGACTGGGTACGAGCAGTGCTCAGCAATAACTAACACTGTGGTATTACCAACATTATTGTCATCTCAAAGCCAAAGCACAGCACCGTGTCAGCTACTAGGAAGAAAATTGACTCTATCTGCTGAAACCAGAATGCTCATGAATTTATTTCAGTTATCTTAACATTACATGTTTTGGGAACGTCTGTTGGATAGCAGTATTTCATTTCCCAGAGGTAAGTGCTTGGGCTTTGCTGCCTTCTCAAAAAGCAACATTATTTTTGATCCATTTAACTCATCACCTCCATGTTTTGTAGCTATAATAGGAAGCAGTTGCATAACGAGCTCACACGTTTCTGTAGCTATGCCATATGGTCCTGTGGTTTGCATACTGCAGACTGAAGAACAAAATAATTGAAATGCAGTCATCCAAATTCTGCCCAGAAAGCAAAGTGTTTGGCTTGCACACATTCTATCTGGAACACAGCTACACCAAATTGCAGTATTAAAATATTTCCTCACAGAGGACATGAAGGAAAGCCACAAAGTCTGAAAATTGGGTTTTGACTTGAGGAAATGTAGGAGGACTTTTCGAAAAAAAACAACAACAAAAACTAACGTACTACATCCTGCCCCTCAAAAACATAAACAGAAAGCAAGCAACCAGTTACAGGCAACATGACAACAATAATGTTTTCCAGATAAGCTTCTGCTGCTTAGTGGAGCATTAGAGACTTACAGCATTTGAGGGTTCAAAAAGTTTGTTTTTAAATGACTGTCCCACCTATTCCAGATACAGCCATCTTTTCTGCTTGTACTGTCCCTGATGTGTCTGGAGACCACTTGTCTGCCACTTTATCGCATAGGGACTTAGCACACGGAGAAACAGAAAGGGCTGTTTCACATGCTCCAGCTCACGAGTGCATGTGCACTGTGTACTTGTAGCACTCTTAGAAGAGTGGCAAAGGACAGCTCTGTGTGGTACTGAACTGAGGTGTGCACCTGATTGCTGGTCACCATGAGGAAGCCTGACACCCTGAGCAGATAGTGGAAATGTTCAGCTGCCTGTCAGAAATCCCAAGCTGTCCCTCATCTTGCAAGTTTCTCCACTGAAATAACAACAGAGCTGAAAGTTTCTGAGGATTTGGACTTATTTTCTAATCACAGGCTGCCTATTTTGACACTTCCGTATGTTTGGGATGGGAACAAGGAGGTGGCAGAAGAAACCAAACAGGATTCTCACATCACTGCATTGCTGGCCACGTGCTGGAGCCTGAAAAAAGGACTTCTGCAGCATTTTAACACAAACATTTCACAGGACAGAAGCCACAATAAACTTCAATGTTTTCCTGTGCCAGCCTGGAGAAGTTATCACCTTTTCATGTAATTAGCTAAGTTGATTGCTACAGCTTTCCACATAAAAAGAAAAACAATTTCATTGCTGTGATTACTTGTAGCTGAGAGTGAAAGAAAAAAAGAACAATATCAGACAATTTTCTTGAAAAATAAATGGATCAGTCAAGTTGCTGAATTCTCACGAGAGAACTCATCCTTGAAATTTAATATAGTATAAGTCAGCAGTGTACCAGTGCACACTTTAAATAATGCTTTTCCAAGACATGTTATCCTCTCCTTTTTATGAAAGCAAAAAAAAAAAAAAAAAACACAAAAAAAAAAAAAAAAACCAAAGAAGAAAAAAAAAACCCCACAGTAAGCTACATATCTATGTATCTAAGTTCAGTAACTATCACCTCTGCAGCCGTGCACTGCAGTAGTACTGGAGACTTAAAGGTACAACTACATCAAGTATGAACACATTGCAAGAAATTAACTGCTTTTCTTAGATTTTAGCATTGGTACCCCAAGGAGAAAACAAAATAATGACAGAAGAATTAAGTGTATGACAATCAGCACTGATAGTTGTTCTGATTTACTGCTGCATTGGGAGATCCTACAATCATGTTATTTAGTTGCCTAGACTAGGGCTTGAGGTGCCCAATGTAATATTTGTCTTTTGGCAAAAGGACCTGGGAATGTGAACCATGAATACATACAGATGCCAGGCTAGAAACACAGACACCAAGAGCTACCTATAAAGAATGCTTTCACAGAGAGCCTCTTGTATCCATTACCTGTAAAAGAGAGGTACTGGAGAAGCGAAATGGCAGTCACTGTATTTCTTCCTCAATAAAATTCAGCCACTATTACATCTGTGTCAGGGCACACAGAAAGCCAGCAGCTCCACTAGTGGCAGTAAGGAGGGATGCTGGGGTTGGGCAGGACGCATCCCACCACCACAGCTGGGAGCAGGGCAGGGAGAACCCTGGGGAGCCAAGACAGCCCCAGCCCTCACCTGGCACCTCCCTGGGTTGTGACAGCCCAAGGTTGTGCCAGGATGTCAGGACCCAAGTCCTGTCTAGTTCAGAGCAGTAGCCTAAGCAGAGTCCTGGCTACCAAGCTAGGACTAAACAGGGCCCAGCAGTGCTTTCTGGACCCTAGCAAGTCTGAATATCTTTACCACTTCAAAATAGCTTCGCAATGAGGAGAAGACAATAATAAAATCACCCTAACAATGTCCCTGACTTTCCTCCCTTTGGAGAGGTAGGAGTAGAATTCCCATCAATCTCAGCAATGCAAATTAGCATCTATCCCCTATCAGGAGAGAAAAAAAGGAACTGTCTCTAAATGTTTGGATCAGTAGCTTACCCCTTACGCTCCAGCCTACAAGATGATTTAACGTGCAGAACACTCATGCTGTAACATTCTGCATTTGTACTTTCAGTAGATGAAATGTAACTAAATACCATAGCCACATTTTCTGAGTTTGCCTGAACTTTTGCTGCCAACCTTATTAGAATACCACAATGGTCTGCAATTCTACTTTCTAGATGATTTACAAGATATTTTTTTTCCAATGATCAAACCCAAAGAGGGGTGCACAAGATTTTTGCACCTCAAGATTTTTCCTTTCCTTTTTTTGCAAATAAAGCTTCTTAGGAATTAGAATTTGTGTCTGTTTTAAAAGAGAATTTTTTTGGCTTATCAAATGTTTGTAAACCTCACAAGTTGCTATCCTTGGCTACAAAGCTGTCATAGACAACCACCAAAACAAATGTTTATACTTACTTACACTACCCCGCGGTTTGATTCTGCTTATTGTAAATAATATCATGAACAGGCTGCAAACACATACTGTTGGAGGAATAATGGCATTCTTCTGTCTTAATACTTTAGCTAGTATTCAACATGAAGAGAATTAAAGAATCTCCTGGGAAAAAAAAAAAAGTTAACTGTATTGTCTTCAAAATAAAAACAAACTCCAGAAATGAAAGCTACCATACTACAATTATTCATTCTTCAAAAAATAACAGTGAGTACTTTAGATTTACTACTTTCAGAGCTTATTCAATATTATCAAAATACATAGCAATAAAGCCTGTGGTTGTATACATGTAATGCAATGGGAAGTGCAGTGAGAGCAGAACAGCAAGGTCCTAGGTTTTAGTAAGTGAGGACTTGCTCAAATGCAACAGCTGTAATCACAGAAACAAAGGAAAGAAGCTGCTTACCTGCAGAAGGCTTCAGGTATGCAGAGATCAGTGATACACCCTTGTCTCCACTGCCAACCCTTAAATGAGCTCTGGGAAGGGCTGGATCCTGGCTTCAATCCTTCTGGTCACTCAGAGGCATTGAATGCACCTGAGCTCACCTGGATTGGCCCTGCTTCTCCCACAGGTACTCAATCACTGTTTCAGGCTGTGACTTGCACTTCTGCTACAACGAGCTAGCATAAAAGATGTTTCTTGAACTTCCTAAGAAGATCATGTGCAGAATGGATCAGAATTGATGTATGATTACATTTTGCTCTGACTAGCATTAGGTATGTCCATAACAGCTACATGCAGGTAAACATTTTCAGAACACCTGTTATCTCACTGACTCTGTCAGCCAATACTGTATCCTTCGGAGGATAATAATTACTAAGGAACATTCATTGCTGCTCTTCTAAACACACATGCCTACCCAGCACACACAACCCAATTCAGTGCCTTCAGGATGGTTACATATGCTTAAAGTTAACTGCCCAGTGAATTGCTTGGTTGGATTATGTTCAATGCAGCTCACAGATCCTTATTTCAAATGCAAAATAAATTATTTTAAGAACAGTAATGTATATGTTTACAGGTTAATAGTCTTGATAAGTCTGAGATGTTGAGAGGCTTCTACAAGATGTGCTCCATGGTATTGTTTCTACAGAAACACAAAATTCAATGTATATCTAATTGACAATGACAGAATACAATTTTTCCCACAAAATATCTTCAGCTCTTGACACAAATTTAAGCAGCTTAGATTTACTGGACTACTTCTAATTTGCATTAGTTTTGCTATAGCAGATTTCAAATGTACAGGAGACTAAAATTCTGCTTGGATTACAGCATATAGTGATAATATGAAACAAAACTCTAAGGGCTGAACTGTAATACTCAGCAGGTATTTCCCTTCTGGTGTTTTTCCCTTAAATTATCATTGGTTTAGGTCATATACAGGCATTTAGGTACTGTTGTGTAATAGAATTGAACACCTCATGTCTGCACTGTTCTCTGTGTCTCATACTGCAAAACGTCAAGGAGAATTCAGTGCCAGTATTTCAGAAAGTGCCTATTTAAAGTGCAGTATAGATACCCAACACAGTTTTCACTTGGTCTCTTTAGCCTGATATTGCTGAAGAAAACACCTGAGTTCCTAAAGTCCCCCTAATGTACACTTGAAGAGGCTGATATCTTGACTAAGTAGAGCATCAGGGCATCTCTGCTCTACATAAACATATCAGGAGGCCAGGTTTCAGTGCCAGGGCTCAGTCCCACAGGCAGCCAAGCCTCATTCACAGCACTGGTGGATTTGAGTTCACCTCTGGAGTATTTTAACCACGATCTGTAGCTGAAGGGAAAATTAAATGCTGATGGTTGAAAGACCAGAGAGCTTCAGGCTCTGCATTGTAACATCATACACGCAGCTATGCTAGGTCTGCACACCAGCACCTCTGCACAGAAGAGAACATTTTCACCACATTAGTCTTTCTTAGCCATATTCCCATTACTCAAAATTATTTCAGCATGTATGATAACACACAGGTATTAAATTGCTTTGTTCCTTTCATACGCAGTGCTTGGAAAACAGTGATAGGGACTGGGTTTAGTCCATTTCCCAGAAAGTGCCTCTACCAAGAAGAAACATACAAAGAAAAGTGTATTTCATCTGTATAACCCAATGCTACAATTACAATCATATAATATCTAATTATGTACTCCATAAATCTTCATATTTTGTTATGAAGCTCATAATAACAAAATCTGATAAATAGATTCTCTCCCTGGCCACTACCAATTGAGTAGAAAAAAATGCTTATTTATGAAGTTTTATTAATAAAATGTGAATAATTCAAACGGCTTCTTCAGTGAAGAAACAGCAGTAGAGTATGCTCTTATTTGCATATAGATGAAATGATGCTTTAGTGTCAGAGTGAAGAATTAAATAATACGAATTCTTACAGTGCAATCCTGACAGCCTCATAAATATCATGGTCATAAGTTGCAGTTTCCTAAAATCTCATTTTATCTTTTATTACAAAAATATGACCAAAGGGCCAAGTTCTTCTCATTTTACATGTGTGAGTATTCCCAATGACAACATAATTATGCAGTAAGTGAGGTTACCAGACTCAGCTTTATGTCAGATAAAGGAGCAAAAGCACAGTGTTATCGACGTATCTATTAGGAGAACAGAATCATTTAACTATTAAAAAAGCACACCTTATATGCTGGTGAAATGTAGAAAACAATGACAACTGTAGCTCTACATTCAAACAGATGTTTCACATACCAGTAATATATAATACAGGCAAAAGAAAAGCATTCAGTTTAATATTCATAAGATGCCAGTTTTCCCCTTAACCACGTAGGAACCATTTTGGCCAAGCACTGTATTCCTGTTAAACTATAAGCAATCACAGAAATTGCAGCACATACGAGAATATTCAAATTACTTTAAATGGATAGTTGCTGCCAAGGAAAGCTTTAATTTTGTCTAAAAGTTGAAAAAGTCTCAGAAGCATCACTCCAGACCAGCTATACTGCTTTGCTTTTGGCTGTTCGTCTCAGTCTTTTGTCGAGGCACGGCTGTTGAGCTGATCTTGTAACAGACTGCAGTAGCAGAGTATGGAAGGACAAGATTTGGGTAGAAAGAGCTCAGGTGCACAAAGTGCATTCTTCTGTGTGGCAAATAAAGGCAAGGGCTGGAGACTCTCCTTGAAGTGCTCTGAGAGATATTGAGTAATCTGAGACACAAAGTGGGTGCAGTCATCTCCCCTTTACCTACAATTTTTCTTTCCCATCCCACAGAGCAGTGCTGAGCAAGAGGGACAGGGCAATCAAAGATGGAAAAGGCATACAAAGAAAGGAAAGTCAGATCTGGGGCAGTAGTAAGAAAAAATTATTTATTGAGTTTGTGAAGAGCTTGTAAATAATAGAAATTTATTTACAAAATATAGCAAAGATGAAGACATCAAGAGCCAAGAAATCTACCACAGCCTTCATCTGCTTTTTTTTTCCAAGAGTTAATTGTTGTTAGCAGTACTGAGTTGAGTACTGATAGACAACACTATCTGAACTTGCTTGGGTCCACCTACCAGGAATTATTCCCTCCTACACCACTTTTTGGTAGATTTAAAGAGCCCTAACATTCAAATATTTTTTTCTGTGCATTTACATATACACTGCTGTGAACTCAACTTTCAATCTGTTTGGTTCAGTAGTTAAATTAAAATTTTAATTCTTCAATTACATAGCATTTTCTTTGACAGGTCTTTTCTGTACTCATTTCATTCTTCTGGTATCTATCTTGCAGAGCACATTATGCTTGAATCACCTTCATGATTTCTACACACATGTAAAAATTGCCACCATTAGCATCTGCACTCTGCCTATGCAACAAGGTTCGCATGGACCCTTTTTGCTACAACATCACACTTGGAATTTGTGTTCAGTTATTTGCCAGTTGACTTACTGGCCCTCTTCAAACTTTTCCATTGTGTAGGATAACCACATAAGATTACTTATTCTTAGGTATATGTTTTTTACTAACCTTATTAACACATAATTTATTTGGATGGGACCTAGATTATGAAAGGTCAAGAAATCCTCTGCATCTTTGGGGTAATTTTTATGTCTATTTTTAACTCTCTCTAAATAGGCTGTAGAAGCTGCTATATTATAGTATATTTTCTGACACAATATTTTTTGACATTTCAGATAGGTCTAACTGATCAGAAAATACTGGCATAGACAGTCATTGCCACATCCAAGCGCATTATTCTTGGGCTCCCTAGCATCACAAAATAAACTCATTTGCATGTGAGAGCAAAGCTGGCAATCTCAGCTTTCATGTAAAATGGTTAAGGTATGGAAATGGAAAATGAAAAACAGAAAGAAAAAATGTAGTTCCATGGTTTTCAAATCAATCTCTTCGTGTTAGTGCAAGACTCATGAGTCCTGAATGATTGAATTTGACAGTATTCCTAAAGGGCACAATAGCATGAAGAGATTTGTCTCAACCTGGTGCTAAAGAGAGAAAATTCTGCCATAGAATCATGTTGCTTGACAATAAGAGGAATTAAGTTAGGAAACATGACATTTAGGCTAATGAAGACTGAGTAACATATTCAACAGCCTATATTAACATTAAAGTGTACACACTGGTATACATATGTATTGTCAGGGCAATAAAAGCTTGTAATATACTATTAGTATACTAAGTAGTTTCTAATTTCTCACTCTTAAGTTTCTAATTTATGAGTAAATACTTTTGGGACTAGTGGGATGTAAGGATCTCCTACCTCTGTCTGTGCTGGAAACATTCCTCAGTTATCTTTTTGAGATCTTTCCTTTGAGACTGAAGCACAGTAGAAGTACAAGGAGACTTATGCTAGCTTAACTGACCTAAGAAGAAGTTAATAGCTGTGTTCTGGCATCGACACAGACTATTTCAGATCTGTCAAAAAAAAAAAAAAAAAAATTGATTCACCTGCAGATTCTGGCAGCAGTAGATGCAATCTCACAGTAAAGTTTTGATCCTTTCTTGGAGAGCTCTCAGAGGTTGGCTTTGGCAATTGCTTGTCAGCCTTAAGCAACGTTCTTCTTGGGCCTGGCTTGTCATTTGGCTTCTCATCCTACAGATCCAACCTAGAGATAAAGCCACAGAGAGGAGACAGTTCAGCACTTTGACTTGTAGAGCATTGGACATGCTGCTTTGTTTGTCATATTTGGCTGATGCAATTTCTTCTCTTTTGTTCTGAGAAGCTCTGCCTTAGTACATTGTTAGAAGTGGAAATTCAATGTTGAATGAGAAGATGAAGATTTCTCTGTCCCAACAGCAAAGAAGGAAAGGGATTTCTGCTTTCCCAAGCCAGCATAAAAGGAGCATTTCTTATGCTTTAGCAAAGGCACAGAAGCTGTTTTACGTATTTTACAGTCATTCTGAATAAAATTAGCTAGAGATACTTAAGCAAGGATTAAGGAAATTGAGTGAAAACGGTATACATGATCTATTATTTTTTTGTTAGGATGTACATGAAGAAAGACACTGTGGAAGGGGTGAATTTTGGGAAGATATTTTTATGAAAGTCACAGCCAGCTTGACTGAACTTCTCTCTTAAGCAGATGAGAAGCTAGAATGTAAAAAGCACTTTTAGAGATAAATGAAGGTGAGCATTAAGGTTGGCATTTCTGGCAGACTAAGGAGGACAATAAAATAAGAGACAATATTACATTATATTGCAAGTGCAGTTATGCTTGTGAAACAAATACTAGTAAATTGGACATAACAGAGAAGAAGAAAATGGAAAGACAGCACAAGGGAATACAATGCATTTACACCAGTAGGAAAGAAGAAAATGGAGAGGAACAAGTGATCAAGGCAGATAAATGATGAGGGTCTAAATGAAAAAGCTTTTAGGTGCTGGAAGGAAGAAACTAGAGATACAACAGAGAAAGAAACCACAGCTCTGTAGAATCTATTTTAGAAGATAAAATGAAAGGGATTTGTCACTGCCCATGAACGCAAGCGAAGCAATAGTGAGAAAAGTAGTATCGGTATTGCTAACAGAAATGCCAAGAACGGAAGCTTCATAGAAGGGGTGATGGTTCAGTACGTAGATTCCCACAGCACAAAAGCAGACGGGGCAAGAGGCAGGCTGCGATTCTGGCCATGAGGCAGCAGGGCTGAACACACATAATCACCAGATCTTTTGCAAACATGAATTTGAAAGTTATGGCTATACAGTGCAATGGAATGCTCAGCAGGTAACACCGCCCCACCAGGTTAACTGAAAATGGCAGTGCCTGATGCTAGCAGCAGGACAGTCCTGCTCGAATGAACACTTACATAACGCTTCCAACTTCTAGAAGATTACATGGATAAAAGAAAGCAGAATTTGTCATTATTTTGTCAGTATCCCTCATTTAATTCATGTTTGCTATAATCTGCTCTTAAATACCCTCACCCTTAACCTAAATTGTTAAGCCTTACTGTAATTTAACTGAGCAAAACCTCTGAGCAAAAGCTGCTGCACTGCTTTGTTAAGATGTCTGAACAGAAGGTGCCAATTAGAACTGTTGGGGAAAAAGATAACCCGTCCCACAGAAAACACAAAAGCAGCTGAGCAACATATCTGGGCACCCTCTTTCGAAACCGTGTAACAGGAGACCACGCAGCTCGGTAAGCGGAACCTGTTTCTGCTTTGAAGTTCTCTGCGTGCTGTGAGGAGGCAGCCGAATGGCAGCGCTGCCCTGGGAACCTCGGCAGCGTCAGGGGTTCCTGTTCTTCACCGAGGGATGAAGTTACTTGTGGACAAATGCAGAAGAGACAGTCTTTAATAGAAACGACGCTTATTTTTCACCTCAAAATAACGACAAAAAGTCTGGATAAAAGAAAAAACAACAACAACAAAAAACCCAAACCAAACCCCACACAAACAACAACGTACATGGAGCAGCTTCACGGACTCCCGAAGAATTGAGCTGAACTGAAGGCAGATCTGAAGAGAACCAGATCTTACCCCCGGCTGGCAATTATTTCGCAATAACCCCACACACAGAGAACAAGATTTACGCGGGCCGCTATCCCGCGTAAATCCCTGCAGACACTGCAGCCCACACGGGAGGCCCAGCAGGGCCCCGCCGCCACACAGCTCTCCCCCCCGCTCCAGCAGATCGCAGAGCAGCCCCGCGGCCGCAGGACGGCATGATCAGAGCGGAGCGGCAAGCGCACAACTCGCCACCCCCACTGCCGGCCGGCCGCCTCTCGGGGCGGGCCTCCCGCGCTGCCTACCAATAGCAGAGCGTCTCCCCGCGGCCCGCAGTCCCATTGGCCGCGGCCGCTGCTTCCGCCGAGGGCCGGGATTGGTCGCGAAGGGGCGGTCGGCAAAAGGCGGCAGCGGGCAAAACTTCGGCGCGTCGCGGCAGCCGCGTGAGTGAGTCCCGCGCGCGTCCCCGAGCCCCCTCACGCCCCCTCACGCCCCCTCACGCCCCCTCGCGCCCCCGCTCCTCGCTGCACTGTGGCCGGTCCCACGCGGCCTTCCGTTAGGCATCGACGCGGCTCGCTCGTCCCCCGCCTCCGCTGCGGTCCCTCAGCGTTTCTCCTGCAGCCCGTCCTGGGGAGGCCCCGCTCCGCGCCGGGCCGATGCCCGCGTGTGATCCCGGCAGGGCGGGGCGGGAGGGCTGCGGGACGTGGGCCGGCGGCCCCGCTTCTCCGTGCCCGACGGGGGAGCAGCCCGCGGGGTCCGGCCCCGTTTCCCGCACGGCGCGTGCCTCGAAGCTCCGGCCCGCCGCTATTGATGCCCGCGGCATGGCGTGTCTGACCGGGAGCCTCGCTGCGAGGGCTGCGCGTAATGCTAACCCGCCGTGACACGTTCCGCGTGTGCGCCCTTTGTCTGCGAGTACCGGCCTTCTCTAGCTCGAGTCCTGCGTGCGCTGTTGGTGCTGCTCGAGTCGCGGTGCTCCCGGTGGCTCTGTGGCAGTTGGCGATGCTGCAGCCGAGGATGGCCGCTGAGCGCTCGGGACCTGACCCGAGAGGCCCTGGAGCTGTGTGAGCCGTATGGCCGCCACCGCCTGCACCTCGCTCATTTCCAGGCCGTGCAGAACTTTTTTACTGTGATGGAAGCTGGAACACGTGAGGGTGAATTGAGCTGAAACTTTGCATCATCTCCATCTTCCTCTTTTTTTCTCTCAGATGATCCCTTTTGAATGTTCTGTAACGTAAAAACTGGATGGCTGACTTGAAACTCCATCAGGTTCCATTTTACAACCGTGAGGCCCACTTCCAAGTTTGTAAACTGTTTTAAAATATATTCAGGTATTCCCGGCATTCAGTTCTGCAGCCATCGGCACCTGTTTAACACAAAGCAATGGAAGGGGCACCCTGTGTTACTGAGCCCCCTCTGCCTTGCCCGTGTTCCCGAGGTCCTGCAGGCTGAGCAGTTTTGCTTCCAGCTTCCTGAACGTGTCAGCCTTGTGCTGGCAGAAGCTGGAACTGGGGTTCCATTTCAGCATGCTGGTTACAGCAAGCTCTGCCGTGCGCTGATGGGCTGTCCTTGCTCTGCTAATGAGGCCGTGTTCAGGGCACTCCTTGCTCTGCTAATGAGGCCATGCCATTGCAGGTTTGGAACAGGCTCGTCTGCCTGCTCAGCACTAGCAGGGCAGTGCCTGCCTGTGAAAGGCTGCAGAGTGCTGCCTCGCTCCATGAGTCTCCAAGTTGCATTCTCCAGCAGAGTTCCCTCACAGAAAGAGGCTGTCGCCTGTCCCCATTCTGCTGCCTGAGAATGACAGAATAAAGGTAGCCAGGATTCTCAGGGGACAAAATGTATTTCTAGCTTGCTGAAATAGATGAATCTTTCATCTGATGTTTTTCAAAATATGTTCTCTTGTAGAATAGTTCAGGCAGAACTTTGTGGGCTCGGCAAAGGTACAAGCAAGGAAGATCCTCAAGAAAAAATGGTGCCACTGTGAGAGGCAGTGGTGTTGAGCTCCTTTGTCGCTGTTTGTCCTTCGCTGGTGCTCTGCATCTCTTTTCTTCATGAAATAGGATTATCTTTTTTTTTTTTAATTGTACATTAGTACAATAATTTACACCTTTTCTTGCAAGATTTGGGAAGAATCATTTCAAAATAAATATGCTCTATTATTTATATGAGAGATTAGAACAAATAATCATGCTTTTGGGTTATGTTCTCTAGAAAAGGGGGATATCTCACATATTGAGAAGATTTCAGGTTTTCAGGCTTTCTGTCTTGGAGCTGATTTCTTGTGGACCAGTTCCCCACTTTTCAAAGCAAATTTCAGAAAAAATACATAGCTTTAACATGAATGAGCGAACACTCCACATAGAAGAAAATCATTTGTCTCTAAGCTTATCCTGCTTTCTTCCTTCTCTTCCCCTTTCTTACCTTTTACTGGAGATCAAGTGGGTTTACTGGTTTGATTTTCTCTGGGATGGTAGGTGCCTTGCAATTTTAGGCAGCGCAGAGGAATTCCTCACACTCTGAGTGCACGGCACTGAGTGTAGTATCACATAAGTTTGCTCCCTCAAGTGTCCAGAAGTGGTTTTCAAGGTCTTGGATTTTTTTTCTTTAGTTTTGTGATGGAGACAGAGTCCAAGTCTCACTGTGATGAGCAGCACCCTCATCAGGCTGAAGACACAAGCAGAAAGCTTGCGCTGAACAGTAAGCTTTCAGGTACGTGCTTAAACAGCGACTGCTAACAATACGTTTTGGTGTTGATGTGCTTCTTCATCACTTCAGGAAGTTTTAACATCAACTGTCATATTGTATAAAGAATTAATGAAATGAGAACATTTGAAATTGCGGTTGACATCAAGCATATTCCTGCTTTCCACGTGGCTACAGTTCATCAGCAGTAGTTTGTCACAATTCCTTTATCCCATTTATTTATTACAGAATATATTATTTTAAGGGATAATATAATTCCAAAATGGACTTCTTGAGAATAAAATTCCCTTACCAGACAGTGTCTCAACAGTAATATTTGCCTTTTAAAATAAAATCACCAGCCTTGGCCTTAAATATCTGTAGATGTGTCGGTGTGCACAAACACACTGTTCTTGCTCATGCAAGAGAAGTTAAAGTACAGACACGTGCACTGATAGTGGCTTTGTTGCTGTTTTTAATTTGTTTGTTTATGACTTAAATCTGGGTGTTCTGTACACAGGCACCATCCTTGCTCCAGTAATTGCTGGTGGTCAGACAGTTTATATATAATGGCTACTGATTTTCCTAGAAATAGTCCTCTGTCATTTTGCTGCACATCCGTGTCCATAATTAGAGCAATGCTGAATAGCATTTGATGTCTCACTTTGCAAATGCTTTTAATTCTGGGAAGTAAATAAATTGCTTTAAAATCTAACAGAAAACATTGCAAAGAATGGCTGCGTTTTTAAATTGTGTTGTGCCAGCAATGGAGTGAGCACTATGCCCAGCTGGGGATTCAGACTCCTGGAAGAGGATGGATGATGCTAGCAACAAGGACAGTCAATGTTTGTTTGTTTTGGGGATCTTTCACATGCGAAGCTATGTTGAGTTGCTAAATTTTCTCAGTGCCTAAGATATGTACTCCTCTGGTGTTCACTCAGCTATTAGAGCTCTGATAACATTCAAATCCTTCAACTCCGTTGCACAAAACCAAGTAGCTGGCAGATTGTACTGCAGCAGTTGCAAGAGCTTTTTATTACTGCTGCTATCTACCATAGGGCCATTGGTCTGGTGACAAGTTAAAGTCAGCTTTAAGTCTGATCTGCTAGTTTCTGAAGACTTAAAAGATGTGGGCTTCAAGTCTTTAATGGAGTCATTTGCATTTTGCCAAGGTTAAGTCCTTTTTTTCAACCAAACAATTTTACTGGAGCATTTCCAGTGCAAATTTGGTGTAATCAGTAAGAATTGAAGCTTAAGCTCCTCTTTTCAGAAGCCAAACTCAGATATGAGTGCTGGAACAAAACTGTAGGTTGCTTTATTTGGAGCAGGTTGCATAGCAATCTAGTTCTAAACAAGGCAATTCTGACAGAGCTGTTAAGATGCATATCAGCATTTCAAACCATTTGCTATGCCTGTCCTGTGGCACACAGCCTCTAGGCATGAATGTCTGTCTAGGATATTACAGAACTAATAATATTCCTATCTTGGGCAGTAAGACCCATGTTTTACCAATGTGATAGAATTTATATTTGTATTAAATTGAATTTATTATTCATTTTTAGGATGAAAATGATAAACTTTTGGGGTTTTTTTCCATTTGATGTAGTTTCCAAATAGCATTTTTTTCATACTTCTGCATAATCAAATGTTCTTTAACCCTGCTTCATACACAGCTTCAAGAGAAATAGAGAACAATTAAAATAGAAGCATTCAGGAACTGAATGGAGAGCTAAGTTTTGGGAGGAATGCAGTACAACATCCTTGTCCTGCCATCTAGTGATTGCAGCACAAAGTACAATAATTTAAATGCAAAGCAAATGTGCTTTTTGGCATTTACTGTTATAACAGTTTAAGAGATTATATTGGTGATCTTAAATAATAATAATTTTCCTACATTTTTGATTCTTGGTTTGCATCTCATGGATGTGCTCCTTTGCTTACATAAACAACTATTATAGTTCTGTCTTTTGTGAGCATTAATCATGTGAAGTTTTACAAGAACAGCTTTTCCTCTCTCAGGAATTCCTAGGTGGCAGGTAGGTAAAATTTTTTGAAATGCTGCAGCATGGAAGGGAATGTGAAGAAGATGATCAATTAGGCAGACAGTAATGCCAGCAAGGATAGGTACCCCTCGCCTCTTTTTCCTTCAATTTGTCAAGTTGCAGTACTAGAAATTGATGTAGATTTATGATCTGAATTACAGACCAGATACTGAATCGAGCAATAAAATTCTCAACTGATTTTCCCCATTCTTTCCACAGCAGGAATAAAAAAAGATATCGAAAAACTTTATGAAGCAGTGCCACAGCTTGTAAATGTGTTCAAAATTAAGGAAAAAATTGGAGAAGGTAAATGTTTTATTGTAGCGTACTTCAACTTACTTCTCTTTTGGAATGTATAACTTAGCAGATATAAATCTAAGATGCCAATACAAGCTATTTAAGCCAGATGCCTTTTGATTTACTTTTAGGTGTATACAGTACTCCGTTCTTTTTTTACTTGGAAAATCTATTTATGTGCATTTATGTTTTGACATATTTAATTACTAGGTTTGTTTCTGCTGAAACTGAGGGCAGAAGTGGAGGAGGAGGCTAGAATATTATAGCTGCTTTAGTTTCTTTGTTGTTGTTGCTGGGTTTTGTTTTTAGGATATACAGGATCAAATTTTGGAACGCTTAGGTACTCCTGACCTTCAGTGGATACTATTGTAGATACTCTATTAGAAGGTAGGTACGACTGCAAGTGGATTCCTAGTGCCTTCTGAGTCTGGGACTTCAGCGCTTTTTGAAACTTTACTCAGGAATGACACTCCAGCAAAGATGTGTATGAGAAGCAGGGTAGCTTTGTAGCTGTTTTGCAATGGAATAACAGCGATGGCAAACCAGGGGGCTTAAAGATTGTCTGTCAAAGAAAGTAAAAAGTGCCATTCTGCACAGTGATCCAAAATTTCTAGAAAACATGCAGTTCTGTTTGTCATAAATAAGATAGTCAAGCTAAATCTCCAGTTATGAATAGTACTCCAATTTCTCTCCTGGGAGCAAACAATGCTCTTGAAAGCCAAAAATACCACTAGCAGTTCTGTGGCATAAAGACAAGACAAGCTTCAACTTAGGATTCCATTCAGGAGTCTGTTTTGTTTTAACAGTTCTCACCACCAAAAAGAAGGTCTTAGGTCAACTCAGTAACCCATGTTGCTATGAGCAATTCTATTTGATTTATGGGACACTAGGTTTTTTTTACGACTGCAAGAAGTATTTAGAAGTTTTCCTGGCATTTTGATGTATGTATATGCTTACAGACTGTTAAATTTAATGTGACACAAACACAGTAGTTAAAATATAATCAAAAGTAAATTTGAACTGCTTGTTCATAGGGAAGAATGCTCTGACTTGTATGTTCAGGTGTCTCAGATCATTAGGATAAATTAACCTTCCCAGAGATATTTTAGGATATCCTTAAAACTGTAACAGATAAAACTGTAATAATAAAACTTAAAGCTGTAATATTATTGTACAGTTTGAATGCTCTCTTTCTCAAAGGAGTCTATAATGTTCTGTGTATGTGGTAATGCTGGAGGCCAACAAATAGTAAAGCTGTACCTTTATAAGGTAGGAAAGAAGCCTTACTTTATAAATAAGATAACAGAATTAAGGAAAATGTAATGATGTCAGAAGTTCCTTGAGTAGCAAAGCAGTGCTAGCCAGATTAGCATTAGATAGCTGACTTACATTGCAGAGAAAGAAGTGTTGGATGTCAGATGAAAGAGAGCTACCTAAACAAGAAAGCAAATCAAAGACAGGAAAATTTACATTCAAAGAGCTCTATGTCCCCAGCAAGTTAGACAGTGTAACATTTGCATTTTTACTGACATTAAAAAAATTGTATACAAGATCACTGAATTCAGTAATAGAAAAAAGAAACTGCCTATTCTCTCTTCTAAAATCTGCTTTTGACGTAGTGTCAGATGTGCTGTAAGACTGTGAACATTTAGATCATTTCTGTAAAAATCTGAATTGACTTAATTAAAGTTGCTTTTCTCCCTGTTTTACAGGTACTTTTAGTTCTGTTTACTTGGCCACAGCGCAACTACAAACAGGATGTGAAGAAAAAATGGCTCTGAAGCACTTGATTCCAACCAGTCACCCTCTGCGAATTGCTGCTGAACTTCAGTGCCTCACAGTAGCAGGGTACTTTAAAAAAATTATGATTGTCATGATTAAAATGCTGAATATTGTCTTGCTGCTCTGCATTTATGTATGTAAAGTTTAGGTGCTTCACTTGCATTTTTATTTTTTTTAATCTCAGAAACGTTTGAGACTTATAGCAGGAGAAATAAGAAATGGATTCTTATCTGTAATGAATGTCCTTTTTTGCTGGTCTCAGTTTGCAGACCGTACTACATTTTCCATCTGAGAAGTTCCATAATTTGTATGTATGTGGGAACAGCTGCTTGGAAAAAATAATCTCTTAAGAAATTAAAGTTTTGGAAATGAATTCTAGTCACCAATGTGCTCAATAGCACATTTTTAGAGTAGCCAGTGTTTTTAGAGTAGCCAGCATTGTGAACTCCTACATCTAAATGCAGTGGTAACTACCAACTGTGGCCCCCTGATCTGTAGAGCCCTCATCTCAAACTGCAGAATTCAAATGGAACACAAGTACAACATAATTCCTGCTAATAAGACTGTTGCCAAAGTATAAATCAGATATTACAAGAAAGCCAGACTGAAGTTTACAGGAAATAAAGGAAAATCAAAATTCATCTTCTGGTCTTTGTTCAATGACGTCACTTCTCTTTTTTAGGGGACAAGACAACGTTATGGGAGTTAAATATTGCTTTAGGAAGAATGATCACGTGGTTATTGTTATGCCATATCTGGAACATGAATCCTTCTTGGTGAGTCCCAGACTTCTTATGTGTAATAAGACTTCTTAATTGAACGTAGTTGCATAATAATAGTGTCCAAATAATCTTTCAGGACATTCTGAATTCTCTTTCCTTTGAAGAAGCGAAAGAATACATGTTTAATCTGTTTAAAGCACTGAGGCGCATTCATCACTTTGGTATTGTTCATCGTGACGTCAAACCCAGTAACTTCCTCTACAACAGGAGGCTGAAGCAGTAAGTCTGTCCAGATGTCCATAGTGTGATCTCGTCTGGGGATGTGTGTCTTGGCAGAACAGATTAAATGAGGCTTTTGGTTTTCTTCCTTCCAGCTGCCTAACATGTGCTTAACTAATAAAGCTAAAAAAGGCTTTTTATTTGTAAAACTTTTATTTCTGTGTTTAGGGACTTGAGAATGGAAAGATTTTTTTTAGCATTTAATTTAATGTCTGCCTTACAGAGTGTCAAGTACCTGAAAAAGTAAAAATTTACTGTTGAGTATAGATACAACATTTTTTTAATAAAAATGAGAATAAAATCAATAACGGTCTGAAAAAAAGCTAATAGATACTTGTTAAGCATAGGCTGGTATTTGTAACTTTCTACTCATGAATTTTTATAACTAATGTATTTGGTATCTTATTTGGTATCTGAAGACTAAAAAGTCACTTACTGCTATTTTTTTGGAATGGATTGAGTAAGGTAATGTTTCATTGCCAGTGGTCCTGTGGTGACTAGTGAGAAGGGTGCAATTAGTGAAGGTCTGGTGGAGAAACAATCTGATTAAAGATAAGTGATTTACAGTGGCATTGCTTGAGGTTTGGCAAACTCTTAGCATTGTTATTATTCCAGCTGTCTTCACTGCTGCATTGTGCCTCTGTCCCTGACAGGTCAGTTCACTTGGCTGCTTTTTGAGGTAATTCGGAACTGCAGAATGAGAACCCAAGAAAGAGATTACTGGGTATAATTTTCAAAATGTCAGCGGTGAAAGTACACTTGAAAAGCTTACAAGAAACAGCAAAGTAAGAGAAATAGGTGTGGTGTAAAAGTGAAGGGACAAACAGAGCCAGACAGATGAGACAAACAGAGCCCAAGGAAAAAAAGAACAGAGTTGCTGGCGGCAGCACATAAGCAACATGAGTAGTAAAATGTGAATAAACAAGTAATAAGTAGTTGATAAAACTGGTTGATACTTTTTGACTCTTGATTCTAACTTTGTTTCTTTTAGGTATGCCTTGGTAGATTTTGGCTTGGCACAAGGAACTCCTGATACAAAAATTGAACTTCTCAAAACTGCCCGTTCTGAAGGCCAGCAGGGAAGTTACTCACAAAACAATCCCAGCATAGCTTTGGGAAATGGGGATTCTCTTGCTGTCACAGCACCTAAACAGATTGCTCACCAGTTAGCGTCAAGAGCATCTGACAAAAGCTCACTCTCCAGCTCACACTCAAAAACACAGATTAAACAAGGAAGAGGAGGAAAGGTTATCAGTTGCTTTCATTAATATTTTTGCATGTTTAATGTATTTTTTTATCCAACAGGGGGAGATGTAATACTTGAACAAAAGCTGTGCTGATCTTGCAGATTTGATGCACTGAACCAATTTTCACATTGGAGCAGCTAGTTTTATGTCACACTGTTGGCGTCATCCAGTATCTGTTAGATATAATTCAGCATTGAAAGCTGCATAAAACTCTAGCATGAGTTACTCTAGACAACCCTAAATCTTTTTTTTTTAAGCCCACATGCTGTTAAACTCCTCCCCAAACCAATAATTATTTGTGTATGCTTACTTGCATATATATAACAAATGCAAAACAGATGGCATTTCAGATCAGCTTGGGGCACGTGAGTTGTGATTAACTCTGTGAGCACATTTGTTGTTCTGTCTAGATGATGTTTTCTTCACAGTGAACTGATGCCTGAAAATGACTTACCGTGTAGGTGTTTCAGTTTTATGTCACTGAACACAGTTCTTGAACTGCCAGTGTCCAGCTGAGCACTGGATAAGATCCTTACTGTATTCTTTGTTGATGTTGTAGGAGGATTCTGTGCACCATTCTGCCCAACGCTCTGTCTTTGGAGAGAGGAATTTCAACATCTATTGTTCCACATACCAGGAGAACTCAAATACGAAAGTAAGAAACATGACTCATCAGTAAGAGCAATTTGTTACATCTTAGAGAAATTATAGAACTAGTTCTGTAAGATTGGGCAGAACCCTGTGAAACTAAAGTTCCCAGCTGACAATTAAGAATACAGATTAGTAAGTGTGACTTCACTGAAAGGCTTGAAGAGTTTTTCACTTGTTTCAGTCCCTTTTGAAACTCCTGAAGAGGTGTTATTTGCATGTCTCCCCAACTCATCTTCTCTGTATGCTAGTTGGTATCTTTCCTACACGTGTACCTTTCCCCCAAGATATCTTTAGTTTGTGAAGCTTTAGCTTGTTATTTTGCAACTGAAGTTGTAGAGAAAACAAGTATGTAATAAATGTTTTCATTTTGTTGTTAAGAATTAATTTGATATGGAGAAAAACCCCGAGTAAATTAGAAGGCTTGTCTAGCAATGATCATCTTATTGTAGAATTAAAACTAGTACTACTTTGGTTGTGGCATTAACTATTTCATACAGGTTTTTTTTTACTAATGTTGAATCAAAAGAATGCTTGAAAAATTATGCTAACTTGAAAAAAAAAAAAAGCTTTGAAGTTTCAAAATATCTACTGGATATTAATTTTTGTAACCACTGAAAAATGAAGTACATTTATAGATATTATGATTTGGTAGAAAGATTTGCTATCTCCTGTTTTAGAATTGGAGCTCCTTGCTGATGAGAGTCTTTTCAGTAGTTTTGAGACAGGTATCTATGTATAAAGGGAAGCTTCTTAAATAGTTCACCTTCTAAAAAAAATATCTGTTTTGCAGCTCATTAAACAATCTAAAATGATAGATGTTTCATCTAGAAAGTTAGTAACAAAGAAGAAGATTATTTCTACCAAAGCAGTGAGCAGGAAAGCTGCCAGTGGTTGTCCATCAAACCTGACCTGTGACTGTTACGCAACAGACAGAGTTTGCAGTGTTTGCCTTTCAAGGTAATTTGCTTCAACAATGCTGTAAAATTACTTACTATGCTGTCAAACAAGGTCAAAAAGCTTGAATTTACTAAAGAGCTGTTTTTGTAGATGAAAGACAGCATTTGTGCAGCCCTTATGACACAAGGTGTGCTCTTCAAAAAGAACAGTTCGTGGAATTTGTGGAGTAATTAGTTCACTGCTGTCTGCAGTAAGAGATTCCCTGTTAATGATTTTCTGTTGCTGTTGTATTTAATTATCTGCCTACATGTGTTGTAGAAGATAACCTGAGTTACAACACTTAGACAACAGTCTGTCATTGAACAGTTATCTAATAGGCCTAAATTACGCCAGCTGCATTGAAATTCAGTGATTGGACTCTTGCTTTCTGAGAACTTAAGGTTAAATACATTCATCAGGCTGTTTGCGTTCTGGAAATCATGAAACATAGAATAAAAAGGAAAGATGACAGTGCTGTATTACTTAATTTGAAATATTTTAATAGTGAACAGGCCAGAGAATCTAAATAACTCATTTAGGGGACAGAAATTTATGCAGAGAAATCTGCTTGGTAGTCATGAAACTGTGTGGTACCTCTCCCCTGACTGTCAAAATACAATGTTATCAAAGTCAGTTCTGAAATTAAACATGAGGAATTTGCTAGACTCACAAAAAAGCTGGCCTGTAGAAGGAAAGCTCTTTTGGACCTTCTTTTCAAGAGAGACTTTTAATAACAATCTCACAACTTTTAGTTAATCTAACAAGAAGTAAATTCTTGTCAACACTCAGAAATAGTGAGCCTTAGTTTGCTCTGGATAAATAGAAAGCCATAATATCCACACCCAAGAAACCAATGCATTTTGTGCCATTGGTTAATTAGTCTCAACTTGAAAGTTCCTTTGAAAACATGTGTTGTCATTGAATGAAACTGAAAATATTGTGACTGAAGTATGCAGTAAGTATTCTTTCTATGTATTATAACAAGACCAATAATATAATTGGTAATTATAATAAGGTTATTTCATATGAGCTAATAATTATACACTAGAAAATTATAAGATGCTTCAGACATAAAAACTGAATGAGACATTTACACATCTCACAAAAGTATATTCTGAAAATATTAAACATCATTATAATTAGAACTAATAGAAGCTGTAACAGATCCCAAGATGACGTGCCCAGCAAGTCTGGAGATGACAGCTTTGCCAGTTGAAGTAGACAAACAATCTGCTCCTGAGACACTCAGAAAAGAAATTCAGCACTTAAAGAGCTGTCAGGAAGATGATGCTTCAGAAAATAAGGCAACAGACATGAAAGGATGGGATCAGGTTCCTGACGAAGCATATGACCTACTACTAGACTTAAACCCTGCAACAAGAATAACTGCAAAAACTGAATAATGCAGATTTACACATCTGACAAAAGTATATTCTAAAAATATTAAACATCATTATAATTAGAACTTATTTATTTCTGAATGTATCTATTCTAAAAGTATTTGTCTCTTACAACAAGGTGTCAACAAGTTGCTCCCAGAGCAGGAACACCTGGATTCAGAGCACCAGAAGTACTAACAAAGTGCCCCACTCAGACAACAGGTACTACACAACAGACAAAAACTAAATGTCTTTCTTTTTTTCAAACCTATCATTTATGCACTGACATTATCTTTTGTATAGGAGGCTGTTTACACATGAAATTCATTTTATTATCCCTTTAACATTTATCAATCATTTCCCAATTTTAATTTAAAGTTCATTACTCAGAATAAGAAGGAACTAGGAATATTTTCCCATGTTTGAAACTTGAATGTCTTTATCCCTTTGAGGGGTACTGCCATATGCAGGAGTTCAATGGCACGTGTTTTAAAAGAAAACAAAGTTGTAAGTTTTATCAAGTTTCTTGGCATGTTGGCTTATTTATTCAAGAAAAATCTTAAATAAATCTTAGAGAGATATGCTTTAGACTTTTCTGGACTGTTTGCCACATGTATTTTGCTGTCACAGGCATAATTAATTGTATGAGTGCAATTTTTATGTTTTTTATGAAGTGTTAGTTAATCAGTACTTTTCACTGGGTTTTTTTTTTCTTCTTTACTAATGCTGTAAATGGATAATCTGTACATTTCATGACTTTTTCTTACTAAGATTTTTAATTTTTCAGGGATAAAACCTATACATTTCAGTAGTCTGGTAAATACTGGGGCAGAACAAAGGGGTGGTTAATGCATTAGCTGACACAAGTAGGCTGGGAGAAACTCTGCGTACATGGAGAATTGGAGGACTGATACAAAGTTAAACATGTCATGTGTGACCAGAGGTTTTGATTATGAAAATGAAAGATAGAAACCAACATTCTCAAAATCTGTATTTAAAATAAGTTGATAGCCATCTTTTTTGCTGAGCACTTTGTAAGAAAATAGTAAATTTGCAGCATTTGAAAGTGCTTATACACACTCAGACTAGCCTTACAATACATTTGATCATCATATCCCTTGATAGCTTAATGCTATTTGAGACAGGATCTGTGCTGTGGGCATGGCTGGGGTTTCAAGAGGAACGGCAGCCTATTTGGAGTCACTGTGCCTGTGCAGTAACAGCCAGCTTTGTGAGCTAGGAGACATCCAGAAATCCAGGACAAGTTTAGACAATCCCTAAATCTGTCTAGACAGAATTTATGCAGAAAGAAGGCATACTTAAGAAATTTTGGACACAGGGTTGTCTTCAGTGTGCTTTCAGACAGTTTTCTGTTCTCTAGGGTAACGGAGGGCAGGATTACAGAAAATATGGGTAAATCTGGAAACCCTCGGGTGTGGCCCTAAAGGTATTGAGTCAGTGCTGCAAAGCTTCTGTAATATGTCAACAAAGTGCTTAATTAGAACTGGGTAGAATAATACTAATATTTATGAGATAATGCTATACTTGAGCTAACAAATCTCCTTACCCAATAACATCTGGGACTGCTGTAGTCACCTCCTTGTACTCCTGCCAATCTTGCTACTAGTTGTGGTCTTTGTGCCGAGACCAAGTTATCAGCTGGATCCAGCTGGCTGTGCAGAGCTACCTTAAATAAGTGAGCCAGGTTTAAAACACAGAGAATACAACCCAAACCTACATCTCGGCCCTAAGCAGATCCAGTTACATTTTTTAACTTGATTTGTTCCTTTGTTTCCCCTTAAGATGGTATCACTCACTAGTTAGATACTAACCACTAGGCAAATGCACAGAGAGGAATCATGATTTTGATGTCATTGCACAAGATCCCACAGTCTGCTGAAGATGCCAACCCTATCAGAACTGTAGGACTTAGTAGTAATTTCACTATATAATTGTCTGACAATATCAGGAAGAACTAAATAATTATCTTTAAAAGTCTTCACCTTAATGACTGTCCTTCCCAACCACATACTAAGGGTGATGCATAACAATGTAAGCAGCTAGTGTGATCAACATCAACAAAGTACTGCTAAAACTTTTTCATTGAAGATAAGATGCAGAATTCTTGCACACTGAATTACTGTACCCATAAATAACTTGGCTTTTGATTTTTGTAAAAGACTTGAAACCTGTGTTTGTAGATCAACTTAGAAGTTTCAGAGCTCTTTGCCGTTTCTAGCTAAAATGTCAGACTTAATTACTGCATATTTTACTGCCTATTTTTGGAAGATATGCAGGATGACTAGAGGTTTATTTCCCAACTTAATTTTTCTCTTTAGAATTTGAGAGTTCTTCAGACTCTCTCCTTCACTTTCCTTGCCATCTCTCAAAATGTGCAACTTAGCCAAAAAATTACAGCAGACAGGTATTCTTATAACTTTCAGTATTAAAGTTTCCATCATGCTTTGGCTTTTTCCATCAGAGAACTCCCTGTACTCTTCATAACACAATGAAAGTGATGAATAACTCTTACAGTTCTTAACAATCTTGTCAAGTGGTTTCATATTAGAGAGCAAGCAAGTCTGTAGTAAGACAAACCTTTTAGTTCATCTAACTGGCAACCTCAGTCCCAAAAAAGTAAGATTTACATTCAATTCTGAATTGTTTTGTATTCATGAACTTTTATATAAAGTTTTCTCCAATCTAACCAAACTTATTGAAGTATCAAAACTAGCCATTTTTTCCTCTCTCAGCTCCCTGATCAGAATAACTTCAAATGTTGTTTCAGTACATTTCTTAAAGCAAATTAATGAAATTACTCATGAGAGAAATTCTATAGACAAACATTCTCTATAGAAGAAGGCATCTGATTTTATTTACAAGTATACCAATTTGCACTGCTTGCTGAAGTGTTATCATTGTGACCACAGTCTGTAGGTAATTCAGAACATTGCTTTCTCTGATGACAACACTTCTGGTCATAATTTCTTTTTCAAGAATTTGGGATTTTGCTTTTGATGAAACTTTACTTGTTCTGCTTGCTTATTTGTTACTAAGCTTGCTTTCCATTACAGCAATTGACATGTGGTCTGCAGGAATTGTGTTCCTTTCTCTGCTCAGTGGACGGTATCCATTTTACAAAGCGAGCGATGATTTAACTGCTTTGGCACAAATCATGACGGTTCGTGGATCTCGAGAAACCATTCAGGCTGCTAAAACTTTTGGTATGCAAACCTTAATTATGGGGAGGAGGGGAAAATGTATGCCTGGTCTGCTGTTTAATACAATGATTTATGATCTAGTTGTGACTTGTTTTTATTTTAAACAAACTTTTAACTTTGGGAGTCACTTTGGAGGTAAGTCACACTTCTTGCATGCAAAATAACACTTATTTATACATGCATACAGAGTTTTAGGAGAGCTTTTATTTGTCTATCTTTTATAATTTTTTATGAGGAGTAATTCATTCCGTGGATTTCCTAACTTTGCTGCCTTTCAGTAACTCAGGGCCACTTGAGGTGAAATATGCCAGCTAAATGTTTCCTACTTCTTAGAATTCTTGAAGTAATATTTATTCCTGCAAAATTTGCTATGGAGCCTTAAGTTGTATTGACTTAATATTCAGAGGATCTAAATCTTGCATTTTTATCCAACTTCAAGAAGGACCAGAAAAAACCAATCAACCAAACAAAAAAAAACAGTAGAAAATGCAAGAGGGACTGTTTGGAGGGAGAAGAAAAAGCACAAAAATAGAAATAGCCATTTTCCTTGACTGCAAGCCAAACATTAAAGCACTTGGTACCTGGAAGTGTAACTGACAGCATCAATTTTAATTCTCCAAACAGGTGTTTAAATCAGTAATATAAGCAATGAACTGAACTGGCTTTTACGTTTTCAGTTCTGTTAAGATGAGGGTGAAATGGCAAATGGTGCTGTGTGGACTGAGTGACGACTTGTCAATTTATAACTTCATGTAAAAACACAGTTCTGCTCTAAGCAGAGCTACTTCTGGCTTTCTGGGGCCCTTACTGTCAAACATGGCTGATTTGGGTTTTTTTAATTAGCTTTGAACTAATGTCAGTTAAGCTTCAATACTTGAAATTTCTCTGAAACAAACTTAAAAGTTGAGTCATAGAGCACGTAAAATAAAATGTCGCTGACTGTAAAAACTGTTTTTCTCTTAGGTAAATCAGTTCTGTGTACCCATGTTGTTCCAGCACAAAACTTACGAACCCTCTGTGAGAAGCTGAGAGGAACAAACAGCAGCTCTAACAGATCCCACGGTGACATGCCCAGCAAATCTGGAGACAACTCAGTTTTGCCAGTTGAAGTGGACAAACAATGTGCTCCTGAGACAATCAGAAAAGAAATTCAGCACTTAAAGAGCTGTCAGGAAGATGATGCTTCAGAAAATAAGGCAACAGACATGAAGGGATGGGATCAGGTTCCTGATGAAGCATACGACCTACTTGATAAGCTACTAGACTTAAACCCTGCAACAAGAATAACTGCAAAAGATGCTTTGCTGCATCCCTTTTTTAAAGAGATGAGACAATGAGAACATGCTCTGTTCATGCTTTTGTACATTTTATGTGAAAATGAGATAATTAAGGAGTTTTAATCCATTGCCCTTACACTCATTGAAGTGCTATTACACTGTGCACAGCACTACTGAAATTGTCTCACAATTGGACTGCAAATGCAACTTCTTAAAAAATGCTTGCAGATGTAAATATTACAGAAACGTTACTGAAATGTTCAAATCCTGAGATGCTTTTGAGGTGTTATTACTGTGCATACCTGTTCTCTAAGAAAATTAACTTTGATCTAAAACTAAAGAATTTCTCACAATAAGATTAATGCTCAAGATACTCTCTCAAAACATAGAAATTTGCATTGAAGTACGACTAAAATGAAAAAGTGCTCGAGGGATTTTTTTCCATAATTGCATACCCCTGCTTTGTTTCCAATTAGTACCTAGGAGACTAAAGTGCACAAATTTTGTTGAGATGGTTTTCAGAGAACAGTTTAACTTCAGGAGTGTTGCTGGAACAGGGGCTAGATAGTGAAGTTTTATCATCAAAACAAAAGCATCACTGTTTTGAAAGTACTTCTTTTCCCTGTCCCTTTCTACGTAGGCAATAGTGATAACTGCAGTTACTCATTTTGCATAGCCTGTATTTCTTCTATGCCATTGGTAGCTGTCAGTACACAACAACTGTTGCCTTCAGAATGTCTTGTGTGACATGTATGTTTGATTTCTGTTATGGAAACTGATTTTCACAGAACATCTTTTAAATAAAGGATTTGTTTTTATAACTTCAGAAGAGTGTCTAGAGATGATTCTATAAAAATAGGTAAGGTTTCCCTGTGGGATACTTCTGTTCAGGAAGAATTATGCAGCTTTCTTTTCTGCATAAATTCCTCAGTGATGTACAATACTTTTCAGATAGACCAGTGTATAGAGCTGTCATAGCGGAAGTATCTTAATTATCAAGGAAATCTTACTGCCTTACATTAAAAGCTGGCTAAATGTCTGGTCACAAGTAGGAATCCCCCCCTCCCATCCCTAGTACCCTCTAGCTTCATGAATTCGTTGTGTGAAGTAAGTCATTCTCAGCAGTTACCTCTTTGGAAACCCATCCTGCTTTTGGAGACTGAAATTTAATATAGTGTTTTTCCAATTACATTTCTTGAAATGCTCATGTAGTTGTTGCTATAAAAGGTTACAGCCACTCCAGGAAAAGATTGCTGCTTTGATAACTTTCATATAAGCCTTCACAAAGAAGCTGGTAGTTACGTCATGACCAGTGCTGTGCCTGAAGAGTGATTATTTCAGTACATTCAAAATCTCCAGTACAAAGTGATGGTAACATTGCCCTGTCCCTGGTGTCAGCTGTTAAAGAAAAATATCTGTAGATGTCAGACTACTAATGGTGGGTTTCAGAAAATCTTGAAACCCACAGTACTCTGGGGCCCAGGTCTTAGTAACTTTTGCTGTTTATATAATTTCAACCCAGCACGTCACTGAGAAATTATTTATCTAGAGGAACTGTGGCCAAATTTGGCAAGCGATACTGTCTGCCAGTGTCTGCAGATGTATTGTTTCCTCCTACGTTCACTCATGCTGTCTGTAGTCTCATGAGAGCACTAGTTGATGGAAAAAAAAATGCCAACTATCTATTGTGAACTTTCTAAATCACTTCTGCTTTTTCAGCCCTCCTGCTCACCACTGCATTGATGAGATGCTTGCAGCAGGCACTGCAACCATTAACCACCATGTAAGTTTAATAATCAGAGCAGGAATATTCCTGCTGATGGTGCTTTTACTATTGTTAAGGGTAAATAAAATTCTGCAAGTAACAATTCTAAGCTTAGATTATTTGATAACAAGCTAGAACAAAGCATTGTTATTCTTCCTTCAGATAGCTATTTATTTAAAATGTCAGACATTACTTGGGAGTGGGATAAAACAAAGAAAAATGTTGGAAAACAGCAAGGAAACACTAGAGATGAACAACTAGTTGCCACTGAATTCTCCTTATCTCTCCAATGGTCCTACAGGTAAGAGCCAAGATAAAAGATTTCTTTAAGTTAAATTACTTGACATGTTTATAAAGTGGATGCGAATTTTGTGTCATGATAACTGCAATTAGGATGAACTGCATGCAGAAACAAGAGTGATACAACACATATTCAAGTAGTTGCAAGAAACAGCTGGAGCACTGTTAAGTTCTGGACACTGTGCTATAACAAGGATGTTAATACATTAGAAAGAAACCAAATAAGGCATCAAAAATAAGCACAGACTTCATTGGATAAAGAAAAACTGATAGGAATAATCCTGAGAACAAAACGTTGGGAGCAAATCTAAATACATTTGTGTATCTAGTGTAGGGAAGACAAGCTTATTCCTAGTCCTACGTAAGTCTAAGTGAGGAAATGGTGGCACATTTTAAGCTTACAGTGTGTTTTCTTGTTGTAAATGACAATTAGGGAAGGGGAAGTCATCTTACTAGACGTGGTTGAAGAAGCACCTGCAAACCAGCAACAAGTTTTTCTGGATAATACTGACAACAAAGTAGAAATGAATTTCCAAATCCTACCGAGATTGTAGTGCTCTCCTTTTTGAGATCAGACTCAATGGCTTTTGAGATAGGACTTAAGTGTTAAAAGGCTTACATAAAGCAAATTGTTACGTGGATAAATAAATAAATCATGCATCAATATTCTATCAGAATATTCAGTATCCTCCTTATTTTATGCATTTGCCATACCTAGAGTTTACACAATCTTTGCTATTCAAATAGTAAAAGCAATTTAGGACCAATATGCAGCCAAAGCTTCATGTGCAGGTGCAAAAGAATTTTGATGATCTTGAGTGGCCTTTGGAGGCCACTGGGTCTGATGAAAATGTTTCCATAACTGTCCAATATCTAGCCAAGTTCCTAAGCTGAAGAGCTAAACTGCACTTCAAGATAGAACATAAAGAAATTTTCATTCCAGAGAGCCCCTGATGTGGCCAATCTGGTAATCAAGGCATTGTGATTTTGCAAGAATTTTAAAAAGTTCACATCAAAGTCAATGTAGGCTTTGTAATCCGGTCAGGCTACTGTGCAACTTCCTGCTTTAATTACAACTGCCAAACAAAAAGCATTTCCTTTACCAAGATGATTTATTTTCTTAGCAGATTTCTTACTAGTCCTGCTGGTTAGCAAAATACAAAGGAAAAATCTCAAATCTTCCATCAGAGGTAGTCATCAGTGATGAAGAGGCACTTTCTTCTCAACTAGATGGTATGTTTTAAAAAATGTGTTTGTATTTAATACAGCACACCTGAAATTTTCTTGTGTGCTCAGAACAGACCATAGCATACAGTGGGATTCAGGCAAGTCAGCTTTCTCCTTTTTCTTTATCATCTTACTTCGAAGACGCTTTTCCTGAAGGGAAAAAAATTCACTAAGCACCCAAAGCACTTAAGAGAACAACAGCGTTTAAAACGAAATTAATATTTTCTATGGCTTTGTGGATTCTTATTCTATAACCAAACAATATCATTCTCAGTCGGTAGGCTCATAGCAAAGACTGTTTCCCAAGACATTACTCAATTTTTATGTAACTAGTTGCAATGGGTCCCTTTTTAAATTATTTATTTTCTATTCAAACTATATGGCCTAAAATTAATTTTACTACTCACGCAGCCACTGCGTGTTCACTTCATCTTGTCCCTTTTCCAGAACACAGTACATGTTCCAGATCAGTGGCAGCGTAGAGGAGGTTCACACTCCTTTCTACTGCTGCATTCCTGGTTGACCAGTTCAAAGGGTGGTAAATATTGAAGTTGGCTGCCTGCATACAGTGGGTGGAAACTGGATGGGCCCTTTGATCAGATGCTCGTGAAGGCGGGTGCATACAGCTTTGTTACTCTGAGCATTCCTGGTGAATGGATGTTTTGAAACAGGGCACAGCATGACTGAACATTCAAAAACCTTTGGTCAGGTACTTAGTTCTGCCTTGCCATGATTCAGCCAGTTCTACTTTCATGTTCTTCTGACTCTGCAAGAATGTTGCCTCTATACAATACACCATTGTATCACGTTCAAAACTAACCACTGAAAGCATTCCTGCTATCCCCAGTTAATTCCATTTCTGGAAAGACTGAAGTTCTCCTGTGGGACTAAGGCAGGGAAGATGGTACTTTTGTTACATGTCATTTGCTTTCTTGCATAAACTGCCATGGTTTTCAGAGAAGTCAGATTCTAATCTAAGCCTTCGTTATGTGTTTGTCACAAAAATACTAGTGCTTAAGAAGTATTTTCATGAGCATTTTCCTTTATATGGCATAATCATACAATTTATAACAGTTAGTGCATAAAATAGGTGGTTTTACTTCTTAATGTGAAGAGCTAAGGATGAAGCCTAGCAATTGTAATACTTGAAAAATATTACCTTTTTCTGTGATGAAAGTTTGTATAAGTTGATCTAATTAATGCCCAGAAGGAGGCAGCTTATTGATAAGATCTCTTGTCTTTCTTTTCACCAGCTCTCTCAAAAAAATCCTACTAGAAGATTGGATTCCCTGCACTGTGTTGCTGAGAAGTGTTGGTCTTCAGTGATTCTTTCATGATTTTGTATGTTGCTGTGCATTAAATGCAAGCACACAATCACTTCCATTTCCTGTCATCCTGTGGGCCTTCTTTCAAATCCTGCCTCTGTTCTACTACCCTTCGGCTTGTTTTGGAGATTTCAGTCTTCCTCATCAAAACACTTGACTTGTACAGGTAAGTGAGAATTCTAGAATATCTACTATTGCATTTTTCTACTCCATATTCTTATTACATCTGATCTTGAATATCAGTTTTAAACATGGGAGAAAATCTATCTTCTGTTGAAACTTCTACCAGATATCTACACACTTGTTTGCCTTACTCTGAAAGAAAGTGGTAAAATGAGACGTAATGCTGAATTTGTAACAAATCAACCACTTCATTTTCCTCCAACACATCCGTATCTAGCTATGAAAGTTATCTCAAACTTGCTTTCTAAACTCTCCAAAAATCTATTCTGCCCTGTGATATCCAGCCCATTCCCATGGGCTGCCTTTGCTCCTCACGGGGCTCTCTTCACTTTCCAAAAATATACCTCACTGCAGGACTCAGACGGGGGTGGCCTTGTTCCTCTACCACTTTTTGCTGTGATGGATTTTGGTGAGATAATTGATCATGGGTAGTTCATGCAGCACAGATTAGTCCTGCATGCAGCTTACAACCAAGCAGTTTTCACCTGCTGGGATTCCTCGTGTGTGCCTTTTGGCTTATGTTTTCCACTGCTGGTCTGCTTGCAATTGGCTCTGTAACTTGAGCCACATTTACTATGAATAAAGTAACACGTAGTTCAAATTTATAGGTATTTCCCCCAGTTGTCCTTGTAAAAAATAAAAAAATAAAAAAAATCACCATGTACTGAATATTCACTAACAGCCTGTTCTGAGAGAGGAGAGGATCAAGATACCTGCTGATTGCTACGACTTCCTTTGTTAAAATCAATGATTTGATTAATCTGATGCACTGTAACTTTGACCTGGTTAATTTCCGAACAGCCAGAAGAATGAGAGCTGCAAAATGCTTTGAAAATTGTTTTGGGGATGGATGAAATTATACTGGACAAACACGGCTCCAGAACTGCATTCTCTGGCCTTCCTTCAGGGCATATAAAATAAAACATTCCTATGAAGATTCATTTCATAGAGCACATAACACTTACTGCTTCTAGGCAATG